AAATCTTTCCTCTCCCATAAATTGTCCCCCAGACATGCCTAACTCTGCTACTCAAACTCTTTGCCCATTACTGTGGTATAACTATGTTCTGTTTCAGTGTTTATTTTGTTTTTGACTCACATAATTGCTTTTCTTTCTCTGGTAATTGGTGATGCAGATTTAAAGGTTGAGTTGGACAGTGAAGTAGTATTTAGCTATAAGGAAAATTGAAATGTTGCCATATACAACAAAATGGAAGGAGTTAGAGGAAATTATGTATAGTAAAAGCAAGTCAGAATGAAGATGGCAGACAGTTTCACAAAGCAGAATACTTAAACAACTAGTGGACACTAATAAAGTGCAGTTCCTGAGGTTAAGAGGAAGTGAGAAGGGAAAAAGGGTCAAATAGGTTATAAGGCACAGTGATAGAGTGAAAAGACTGGAGGAGAGGGAGTGCTTAGTTTTCCCACCAAAGGAGTAGTGTGGGTAGATATCAAAGCTACTTAGGTTAAACATAGCAGGGAGGGAAGATTTATTCATTTAAGATTTTTCAGAACATATGGGAAATGTACTTAGAGGGTAAGGGAGGTAATAGAGGAAAGCTGGTAGAGTGTTTGCTGTGTCAGCTTTTTTAGATATTGTGGAGGATAATTACTATATAAATGTGTTAAAGCTGAGTGCAGAAATCATTGATTAGAGCTATCATGATGAAATGCAAGAAGGTGGCACCTCCCTGGCGGTGTAGTCTTGGCACTATCATCACCATGCCCTGAGTTAAATCCCTGGCCAAGGAGCTGACCCACATGTGCAGCAGCCCTCTCCTGTCTGAACTGCTGCTGCCCTCAGCAGTGTGTTTCAGTTAATCTGCCCATTCTGTTCCCTACTCTCTGGTGAATCCTCACCCATCCCACCCCGCCACACCTCTGTCCACACCCCAGTTGTTCATTGGCACAAATAAATCAATCTTAAAAAAAAACAAACAAAAAAACAGCAACAGAGCTCTCCCTGGTGGTACAGCGGGTTAAAGCACTGGATTATGAAGCTCTCTGAAGCCTTGCAGTATGAGTTTGATCCCTGCCAGGGAGCTGACCCACAGGGCGCAGCAGAGCTCTCCTGACCCGCCTGCTGTTCCACTCAGCAGTGTACTTTGTCCATCTGCCTGTTCTCCCCCACTCTGTTGGTGAATCCTCTCACCACCCCTGCACCTCTGGCCTGTTCTGTAAGTATAAATAAATAAATCTTTTTTAAAAAAAGAAAACAAAAAATAGAAAGGGGTTTGAGTTTGACTAGAAACATCAAAGGTATTTCCAGTGGAGACATCTTAATAACTTGCGACAGCCTGTCACAAACGGCTACAGTTGTGGCAGTGCGTAAAGGAAGTTGTTGGAGTGTGTTGTCCTTTTTTAAATTAACTTTTTAAAAGATTTTATATACATTTGCATAGAAGAACTGGGATTGGGAGGTGAGACAATTCACCAAAGACAGAGTGGGGAATAGAGTAAGTAGGTAGATTTACTGAAACACACTGCTAAGGGTAGCATGGCTGAGACAGGACATGCACCTGCTGTGCCCTGTGTGGGTCAGCGCCATGGCTGGGGTTGAACTTAGGACATAGGGTGATAGCTCTGAGACTTTACCCCTAGGCCATTAGTGAGCCTAAGTATTGGTTAGTTAAGCAGCTATGAATTTCCACACACCTATAGAAAATTTTAGTTGATTGTTGTCACTGGAAAATTCTCTTTATTTTATTTTTTAATAATATAAAAGTTTGATTTTACATCATCTTTTGTCTTTTTCCATCTCAGTTGTAATCCCCATGGGCTTCCCATCACCAAATAAATTCCCTTTATTTGTTAAGAATCCTGTAGACTGGCCCTCCCTGGTGGCGCAGCGGGTTAAAGCACAGAACTGAGAATCTAAAGCCACTTCCGCATGAGTTCGATTCCCGCCTGCCCCGGAGGTGACCACATGGTGTGGCAGACCTCTCCTGACCCACCCGCTGCTCCCCTCAGCAGTGTACTTCGTCCATCTGCCTGTTCTGTTCCCCACTCTGTCTCTGGTGAAGCCTCTCACCACCCCTGAGCCTCTGGCCTGCACCCCAGTTCTGTATGCACAAATAAATAAATCTTTAAAAAAAAAAAAAAAGAATCCTGTAGACTAATGAATGGCATAAACAGTGAGACCTGGGAAAATCTCAGCATGCTCAGTAACATGGTAATAACTTTAGAACCATTAAGGTGATGAGGACTTTTATAATAGTGATGAATGCCCCTTAATATTTCCCAAAGATTAATGAGGAGGAAATTTCCCACTTTTATTTTCCCATGTAATTAAGAACTGAGCAAATGGTAGTCTTTCAGAGAAACTTTTTTTCCCTCTAAGATAGTTGTAAAATGTCAAGAGTTGGGAGGAAGAACAGAACTACCTGATTGGGGTGGGGGTGGGGCCCATTTGGTGGCATAGGGATTAAGATTTAGCACTATCTTGCTATTGTCATTGTATCCTAAATTCAATCCCAGGCCAGGGAGTTAACCACATCTGATGCAATAGATGTGCACTCTCTTGCCCACTGCCCCCCTTTCCTCAGTGTATTTCAGTAAATCTGACTCCCTGGAGTTCTGAGCCATAATATTTTTATTTCATATTGAAAAGTTACTCATTTGATTGATAATTATAGTCTTTTTTTTTTTTTTAAGATTTATACATGTAAGAACTGGGATACAGGTCAGAAATGCGGGGTGGGGGTGAGAGGATTCACTAGAGATAGAGTAGGCACCAGAACAAGCAGACCCACTGAAATACACTGCAGAGGGGAGCAGTGGGCGGGGACAAGAGAGGTCTGCTGCGCCACGTGGGTCACTCCCTGGCTGGGGATTGAACTCCTGCTGTAGTGGCTGCATAGTGCTGTGTCTTAACCCCTTGTACCACCAGGGAAACCTTAGATTCTTGATTCTCCTTTTCTTCAGCAAATTGCACCTGTTCTTTGGCTTTTTTGTATAACTTTGAGATACTTTATACTCCTTTCAAAATATGTTAGTTGGCATTTAGAATGTATTTTTTTGAAGGTGAGGAATTGCTTTTAAAACCAGCCTTCAAAAAAAAAGTATTAACAACAACAACAACAAAACCAGCCTTCAATAAGAGATTTACACTTTGCTCACACTATATTCTATTTGTTAGTTTTATATTATTTACATTTATCCTCAAGCATACCATAATGTAATTCTTATTCTTGACTAGTAGGTTTTCTAAGTTGTCTGATTTTTCTGCTCATACCTGGTTAGTTGTTATCTTAAATATAACAATAGGACTTCATGTTTATTTCTTAAAGTTTTACATGGTTTGTCTTTTTTTTTTTAATCTTAATTGGTTGAATCCACTTTGTTTAATATCTTGTCATGTACAAAACTGATCATCATCTTTGATAAATACACATAAAGATTGTTGGCAAAAACTTAAGGCAAAGCCTTATACTGTAGTCCTGTCTCCTGCTGTTAGAAACTTCCCTCTGTATAATAATGGCATCTATGTTTTAAAAGGTTTGCTGTATAAATCTGTAAAACCTGGAACATTTTTTTTTAACTTTTCCCTAAGACTAGTTTGCTTCCTCTCATGCTTGTGACTCCATTTGAAATGTGTCCTCTTCAGAAAGATTTTCTCTGACCCTTTCATCGCAAGTTCTCCCACAGTTATGAAATCATTACTGTTTTATCAGGTCACTAGCTTTGTTTAGAGACACCGTTGTGGTTTCTTATTTTCTTCTCTACTAGAATGCCAACTCCATGAGGTCAAAGACTGTATCTTTGTCCTTAGCACCTTGAGCTTGACACAAATAGAAACTGTATTATTAAAAGGTTCCCTTTACTGCTTTAATTGTACTTTCTTGGCCTCAATTTTACCTTTTCTTTATGTATAGTTTGTGTAGCAAAAACAAAAGAAATATATACCATTACCTTCAAATTATTGTATTCCCTTTCACCAGTGCTCCACAGACTTTCTAGTGATAGGATATCATACCTCCAGTTTGAAGGATAATCTCTGCTTAACTTTGATCACTTATCAGTCACTTTTCTAGTTATCTTTGTAGCTAGCCCATTCTTTCCCTTCAGTTTTACCCAAAAGGATTTATTGAGTTAGTTGTCTTAGCTGTGTGTGTGTGTATTTCATATATATTTTTTGTTAGATATATCTATTTATGCATACAAAACTGGGATACAGTCTAGAGGTGCAGGGGGTGGGAGGTGAGAGGATTCATCAGACACAGAGTGGGGAGCAGAACAGGCAGATCAATGAAGTTCACTGCTGAGGGGAGCAGCAGGCAAGACAGGAGAGGTCTGCCGTGCCATGTGGGTCACCTCCGGGATGCGGGATGGAACTTGAACTGAAGTGGCTGTGGCCGTCTTCACAGTGCTGTGCTTTAACCCACTGGACCACCAAGGAGAGCCCAGATTTGTATTTATTAAAGTTTTTGGGATTGTCTTAAGTAAGAGGAAAGCCTCTGGTTGATGTCAAAATGAAATTGTTATTATAAGAATATTATGTGTTCAGTAGGAATATTTTATTTCCTCAATCATATCCCTTGGGTGGGATTAGCTACTTGTGTTTGTGAAATTATTACTTAATAATTCTTTATGAGATTATTTGAAGACTCCATCTTTATTTGAAAATCAAAATGTTCTTCAAGGAATACTGTGAATCAGAAATTTGATTTATAATTTCTTCTAGTTAGATTTTATATTGATCTTTCCTGTGTTAGAGGCCAAGTAAACATGATTTGCTGTAGAGCTTGAAACTTTTGTTAACGACAAAACTGTCTATTTAAGTAGACAGAATTGATGTTTTTTTTTCTGGCAACAAGTTTTATACTTGCCTATCAAAATTTATATTTGAAAGTACATAAATAAGCGTCTGTATGCCTTATCTGTTCTGATGAGAATTATGGTTGTTAAAAATTCATTTTTGAAAAATATGTTTTCTGATTCTATACTAATGTGTTTTCTCTGTTCTGTTTTGCTCCCTAGAGAATGGATCTTGGAGAATGTCTGAAAGTTCACGACCTGGCTTTAAGAGCAGATTATGAAATTGCATCCAAAGAACAAGATTTCTTCTTTGAACTTGATGTATGTGATTTTTTTTCCTTCAGTGGGTTAGATTATATTTTGCAGTGATCTGTTGTGTGTATAGGTTAATATCTCAGTAGGAAACCACTTTTAGCCTTTATGATTATATGAAAGGTAGTACTAAATTGAGATTTACTTTTTTCAAAATTAAAATGAGCAACTAGGAATTTAAAAAATGTCTAAAACCATGCAATTCCTATTTTTTTTTGAAAAATATATCCTTCCAGAAGTACTAATATTTAAGGAAATACCAATTTAAAAAAAGGTAAACGAACTTCAGATGTTTATAAGGTTTTTAAATAATCTTTACTTTTATATTCATATTTGTTTTTGAATTGTTTTTGTTTTTCTATGCATATTAAGAACAGTATTTTATATTTTCTATGTCAGAAGGGATAATACTATGTAGAGGGCTCGAAGTCTGACTTTTATGTTCTAATTTCATACAAATGAGAAATATTTGCATGAAAACTTTTTTTTGTAATTACAGGAGTTATTCTAGTTGGTATTATTAAACCACACTGATGATCATAAGTCTAATAACACTTTTCATCAGTGAGGTACGAGGTATTTTGCTTTGGGAGGCAGTGCAGTAAATAAGGCCCCACTATCTACTTCTCTACTTGTAAGAATTTTCTACTAAAAGAAAGGAAAATCTGTAATATAAATTAATTTGGTGCTTTGATAATTTATTTACTTTTTGCTCCCCTACCCACAGATCCCTTATTTGGTTTCCCTATGTTCCTTTTATAAGTGAACCCATCCAATACATATTTTTTTCCTTCTGGCTTATTTATTTACTTTTTTAATTTTATAACAGTTTATTTTTACATCATTTTGTACATTTTTCCCCCCCCACCTCAAATAGAGGCTTTAAAGAAATACCTTAAAGTTATCAGACTATGATTCAATTTACACTGAGCATAAAATACAGCAGGACCTCACTGTCATCAACATGGGACTATGGGTAACCCCCCCTCTTTTTTTTTTTACTATGGTATATAATATGTTTATATATCAAGTGTCCATAGAATTAAGTTTCTAGAAGTAGAAAACTGAGTCAAAGTAACATTTTGCCAACTTGTTCTTCATAAGAATTATCAACTTACATTCCCACTACTTATAAGAGATTATCTTTTTCTCTTCTGGCCATATGATATGTGGCATTTTGGACAAAAGCGTAAATGTAAATGAGTTTGAACATAACTCATTTATTTAAATCTATTTATATTTCCTTTTCAGTATACTATTAATATGCAACTATTTTCTGGGTGATAGGCTAGTCTTAATTTTCGGCTTATTTTTTTTTAATCATTGGCATTTTTTAAAAACTGGTTTGTACTGAGTCTTACCACAACTAGCCTGTTCTCTCAGATACATGTGACATTTTTATCCTGTTTTTCTTTTGGTGGTTTTGGGGCTTGCACACTACATTTCTGGTTGTGTAATTTTTTAGCCTTTTGAAATTTATTTGGATAGTTGAAAAGACTTCTTATTCTGACATAGAAGTTAACTCCTGAGGGTTTAATCCAATATTTTTATGGCTTAATTTTTTGTATTTAAATTTTTGATCCAATTTAAATTTAGTCTTTAGGTATACATACTCTCTTCCCCATAACTGTCTAGTTACCAAACACTACATATTGATTAAACCATAATTTCTGTCTCTGCTTTAATCTCCCCATAGACTTTTCCCCACATTCAACAACTTTTATTAATTAAAATGATTAATTTTTTAATAATAGCTTATTTTTGCATCATTTTGTGCCTTTTTCCATTTCAGTTGTAATGCCCGTGGACTTCCATCAATTCACCCATGTGCCATCACCATAGTCCAGTGCATTCCCCACCCATCCCCACTCCCATTTTTTAACCCATTCTCCGCACCATTCCAGTAAAATGTCTCTGGTTTATAGCTGCTCATCATTACTATTATTCTTTCTTACCCCGGTCCTTTATGCTTCTCTTATGAGTGAAACCATCCGTTCTTTTTCTTTTTCTTTTTCTTTTTCTTTTTCTTTTTCTGGCTTATTTCTCTAAACATGATCCCTTCAGCAACCTTCAGCACCTTTTTTTGCTGCAAAAGGCATGAGTTTATACTTTTGATTGCTGAGTAATATTCCATTGTGCATATGTACCACATCTTTTTTTTATAATAATAGTTTATTTTTACATCATTTGTACTTTTTTTTCCATCTCAATTGTAATCCCCGTGGATTTCCCATCACAAGTCACCCATGTGCCATCACCATAGTCCCGTGCACCCCCCCCCCCCATTTTTGATCCCATTCCCCACTCCACCCCCACAAAATGTCTTGGTATACGGCTGTTCATTATTCTTATTATTCTCTCTGGTTTATCTCACTAAGCATGATCTTTTCCAGCTCCATCCAAGTTGCTGCAAAAAGACATGTGTTTCTTTTTTTTGGTTGCTGGGTAATATTCCATTGTGTATATGGACCACATCTTTTTAATCCAGTCATCTACTTTTGGGCATTTGGGTTGATTCCATGTCTTTCCTATTGTAAATAAAGCAGCAATAAACATCCCCATAGACTTTTTAATACATTTCTTTTGTGATTTAAAATATATATCCTGGTTAAGTACATATTTCTTTCTCATGAAGAAAAAGCTTTTACGTGAATCTTACTGCTTTGATTCTCAAAAATTTTTTGAATTAAGCAACCATTTAAAAGTTTTATGTATGCCAAGCAAAGTTTCTTACACATACACATACACACACATATATATATATATTTTTTTTTTTAAAGATTTTATTTATTTATGCACACAGTACTAGAGTACAGACCAGAGGTGTAGTGGTAGTGAGAGGATTCACCAGAGACAGAGTGGGGAGTAAAATAGGCCAACTGATGAAGTACACTGCTGAGAGGAGCAGCAGGCAGGTCAGGGGAGGTCTGATGCACCATGTGTGTCACCTCTGGGGCAGGGATCAAACTCATATGGAGTGACTTTTATCTTCTCAGTGCTGTGCTGTAATCCGCAGCGCCACCAAGGAGGGCCCACAAAGTTATATTTTTAATTAGACATTTGTGGTATAAATTAACGGTTTTTGTATAAAGAGATAGAATAGTCTGAATTTTTACCTTAGGAGTAAATCTTAAAGCTTATGTGCAAATTCATTATTGACATTACTATATATGTATGACAAATGTCTATATATATACTGTACTGGATATTTTAGTATAAATATAACATTTTATAAATTAGGGCAGTTATTTGTTGTAGGAAACATGAAAAACAACATCGAAAATTAACCAAATATTCAGAAATTATAGTTAATATTCTGTGTGTCTTTTGTTTCTGTTTTTTAAAATTTTATAAAATCACATTTTATAACGTGCCTTTTATTTATAAATGAATCTAAAATTTTGTATGCCCTTAAACTAAAGCTTATTTTCAATAGCTGAAGATCAAAAGAGTTAGCTGGATATGTAGGATGTTTGCTTTTCATGGTTATTAATAGCAGTATAAGGTGCATCTTCGGATGTTAGTACTTCCATATATCACTGATTTTTTTTTTTTTAAGATTTATTTATTTATGCATATAAAAGCTGAGGTACAGACCAGAGGTTGGGGTGGTGAGGATTCACTAGAATAGGGAACAGAACAAGCAGATACATTGAAACACACTGCTGAGAGGTGCAGTGGGCGAAGACAGGAGAGGTCTGCTGTGCCATGTGGGTCAGCTCCGTGGCTGGAGATTGAACTCATGTGGCATTGGCTGCTGATAGCTTCATAGTGTTGTGCTTTAACCCGTTGGGCCACTGGAGAGGGCCCTGGCTACTTTCTTTTTTCTTTTTTTAATTTTTATTTATTTTGCATCATTTTTCATCTTAGTTGTAATCCCCGTGGACGTCCCACCAGCATTTCAACCCATGTACCACCTGATTACTTTCTTAACCACAATTTCTGGAAGTAAAATTAGTAAATGAAAACATGAATTTTGGTATCTTAACATTTGCCTTTTTTATTAAGACTGCACTGGTTTGTACTTCTTCAGCATAATACGTATTACATATTTGCAAGTCACAGTCTTCTTTTTTTTTTTTGGCAAGTTCCTTTCCTGGGATTTATTTGTGTTTATTCTATGTCAATTTGATGTATAATGAACAATTCAGTTCATAGTTGAACCTCCTCACTACCTTTTTACTTGCATGGTAGCATTTAGAAAACAAACCTTTATATAATAAAGTTGATTTTTCTAACCTGTAACTCTTTAAATTCAACTTTGTAGGCTATGGACCATCTGCAGTCATTCATTGCTGATTGTGATCGAAGAACAGAAGTGGCTAAGAAAAGATTAGCAGAAACTCAAGAAGAGATTAGTGCTGAAGTGGCTGCAAAGGTAACACTTCGTTAATGCAAACTGAAATGCTTCAACTTACTACTTTTTTAAAAGTTCATTAAAAACAATTTTTTCCAATGTTCTGACTTTTTTTTTTTTAATAATTATAGTCACAGGAGATTGCAAAGGTGTATGCAGGGAATTCTGCATGCTCTCCTTTAGCCACCTTTTGTAGCAACATCTTACACAAGGGCAGTGAGAACGAAACAGAGAAACGAATAATCCTTAAATCTATAGATTTTGTCTACTTTATCTCAGTTTAGAGATACACTTTGTGTGTATTTGTGTTACTGTAGTTTATCACATGTATAACTTAGATAAGTACCTTCACAATGTAGTTACTTTATTATGGCATCACCACAGGGTTTTGATATTTCTTCTGTATAACCACATCTATCCTCTCTCATTCCTAGCCTCCGGCAACTACTATCTTTCCATCTCTGTAGTTAGGTTATTTTACCAAATATTGCATAAGTGTTATCGATGCAGTGTTTATCATTTTGAGATTGATTTCATTCAGCACCCTTTTTGGAGATGCTCAAAGTGATGTGTACCAGAAGGTCATTCTTTTTTTCCCCTGAGTAGTAGTGGTCTATGGTATGAAAACCATTCCCTGGGTCAGTAAGTTTTTTTTTTTTTTTTTTTAGAGCAATTGCAGTTTTCTAGAATTACAGCACCATTTTTAGTTTTCCTGCCAGCAATGTGTAACTGACCATATTCCCCATGTCTGTTAGCATTCATTCTGAACGGTATGTAGTAATACCTCTTGGTAATTTCAGTTTGCATTTCCCTGATGACTGGAGATGCTGAATATTTTTTTTGAATGAAATTGCAGTTTGTGTATCTTTCAGTGAAATCTCTTAAGTTTTTATGCTCATTTTCCAATTAGATTGTTCATTCTTTGTTGAATTTTGAGTGCTTTTTTTTTTTAAATTAGAGTGTTCTTTAGATGTTCTATTGGCACAGTATTTTTTTTTTTTTTTTAAGATTTTATTCACTTTTGCTTAGAACTGAGGTACAGCCAGAAGATTCACCAGAGATAGTGGGGAGGGAGCAGAAGAGACAGATCTACTGAAAAATGCTGCTGAAGGGAGCAATGGGTGAAACAGGCGAGGTCTGCTGCGCCATGTGGGTCAGCTTCCTGGCCATGTCAAATTAATGACAGTGTGGTTGCAGATAACTTCATAGTGCTGAGATGTAACCCTTTGAGCCACCAGGGAGAACCAGTTGGCACATTATTTTTTTTTTTAAGTTTTATTGTGAACTTTTACACAGAAAATAGAAAAGTACTGTGAATCCTAATGGATACATTACCAAGGTTCAAAGCCATTAGTTTTCTGCAATTGTTTCATTATTTTATTACTATTTTTAAAGATTATTTATGCATACAGGAACTCTGGGGTCAGGCCAGTAGTGAGGGGGTGGTGAGAGGATTTACCAGAAACAGAGTAGGGGACAGAATAGGCAGATTGACTGAAAATGCATTGCTGAGGGGGGCAGCAGGCAAGTCAGGAGAGGTTTGCTGTACCATGTAGGTCAGCTCTCTGGCCAGGGATCGAACTTGTGCTGCAGTGGCTGCTGATAGTTCTTAGTACTGACTGTGAAACCCTTATGCCACCCCACAGGCCCATAATTAAAGATTTTACTTATTTTTGCATGGAAGAACTGGGGTATGGGCCAGAGGTGGTGTGTTCTATGAGAGGATTCGCTAGAGACATTGAGAGCAGAACAGACATATCCACTGAAATATACTGCTGAGGGGAATAGCAGGCTAGACAGTTTGCTGTGCCATGTGTAGGTTAGCTCCCTTGCAAGGGATTGAACTCAGGCTGCTGTGGTGATAGTGTTGAAACTGTGGTGGTAGCACTGAGCCATAGGCCACCAGGGAGGCCCTAGTTTCATTATTTAAAAAGCAAATTCTAATTTCTTCCCCCCTCCCTCCCCTCCCTCCCTCCCCTCCCTTCCCTCCCTAACAATAGGGTTCCCTGGTGGCACAAGGGGGTTATGTTTCCGCACTTTGAGGCTAATGGCAACCACTGCAGCATGAATTGATCCCCGGCCAGGGAGCTGATCGATATGGCCCAGCAGAACTCACCTGTTTCACTCACTGCTCTCTTCAGTGGTAATGGAAATGCCTGTCTTCCTGTTGAATCCTGTTCCTGGTGAATCCTCTTGCTCCCCAGTACCTCTGGCATATACCCCAGTTCTTGTATGCAAAAATAAACATTCAATTAAATAAAGTATAGCCATAAACCCTCACCTATGAAAGTAAATATGTAATAATTTAGAATGTGTCCATTCTTCCCTGTATAAAAGTTGATACTCTAGTTTGAATACAAACAAGGTTCATAAACTTCTTTGTGTTGAATTTATGATTTACTACTTTAGAATATTTTGTACCATTCAGAGTTGTCTGGTATGTCTTGCAAAAATACAAAATAAGAAGTGTTACCCACATAAATTTGGATAACAGCATTAAATGTGTCTGTGCAAAGGAAAATGGATATCCTTGTTTAAGGACAGGGTAACTTTCAGTCAGCTTTCCTGAAATATTTTATGCTGACAGGGATTATAAAGAACATCCCAAAACACAAAGGATCATGAAATCCACGAATGCTGTGGAAGATCCCAAGCAGTGTGGTTTATACATTATATTTGTTGATTTGGCGCTTCAAAAATGGCCTCAGAATTCTTGACTTACAGGCTGTTTCCAGTTGAGTCTTCTGTAGCCTGTGGTTTAGGCTACACTTGACTAGGCAGTTACTCCTTTTTCAGCTGGGCTCACTCACAGGTCTTATAGTCACTTGGAGAACTGAGCCATGCCTAGGGTGCTAGCCTCCCCGTGTTCGCAGTTATGATGGCAGAGGTGCGGAACCTCCTGCCCATTGTTCACGTGCTTTTCAAGCTTTCCTTATGTGATGTTTTCTAACACCCCATCACCATAAGGCAGTTAAATGCTGAGTTCAGAATAAAGGTAAGATGGTATGCATTTACATAGTAGCGGGAATGGAGATAGGGGAGGGTGAAGAGTTTGGGGCTTTTGCTTTTTTACTTTAAAAGACTTATGCATCAAGAACTGGGGTATAACCCAGATGTGGGGGTTGAGAGGATTCACCAGAGACAGAGTGGGGAGTAAAACAGGTAGACTGACTGAAATACACTGCTGAGGGGGCCAGCAGGTGAGACTAGAGGTCTGTTGCACCACGTGGGTCATTTCCGGGGTCAGGGATTGAACCCGTGCTGCAGTGGCTGCAGATAGATTCATAGTGCTGTGCTTTAGCTGCTTGTACCACCAGAGAGGACCTGGTTTGTAGCATTTTCTCTATCTGGGAGAAAGAGGCTAACTTCAGGGGATATTATAGCCTAGTCACAGTTTGGGAAGGACAGCAGGGGAGGTGTAAGTGAAGAGAGGTGGGACGCACAGAGCAGAAGCAGGTTCGAAGCCTCTGCCCTGAACTGGGAGAGGCATAGCTTCAGACAGGTCCTGTGGCCACCTCGAGCTTTAGTCCATTCATCCCATGACAAATATTTAGAGAAAAACACCACTGTTGAAGAGGTAGGGTAACGATAATAGAGTTATATTTCTTGGAGGAATAGATACCTTGGATTGGAGGAAATTTGAGAAGTAAAGATGATAGGCACCCTGGTTTGCTAGGACTGGATGTCTGTATCACATTAAAGCTTCTCCGCTAATGTAAAGGCCACATATATTGAATACTCTGGCCAAAATAAAGAGTATGCATATGAATCTGAAGCCTGTTTTAAGTAGGAATCAACTTGGATCCCAGGGTGATTTTAATGATGAGACCTGTCTGCCCCAAGGCCAGGGTTAACTCCACTGGAAAGATAAATACAGGAGGTGTCATGCTAGTAGGTTGAGAATCTAAGCATGCTGTACATTTTATGTACAAGGTACATTCACTTTCTTCTCACAGTTTTGTGAGATGGATTTTGTCCCTACTTCTTGGATGAGAAAGTGGATTTGAGTTAAAGTAATTTGGCCAAGATGGTACATTGGTTTGGTAATAAGCCAGATCCTTAGACTCTGTTTAAAATGAAGATAAAACTTATCTACCAGGGGCCCTCCCTGGTGACGCAGGGGGTTAAAGCACAGCACTAACAGGCTTGAGCCATTTCAGCATGAGTTCGATCTCTGTCTGCACTGGAGGTGACCACATGGTGCGGCAGGCCTCTCCTGACCCTCCGGCTGTTCCCCTCAGCAGTGTTCTTCACCAGTCAGCCTGTTCTGCTCCCCACTGTAAGGTGAATCCTCTCACCATCCCTGCACTTCTGGCCTGTACCCCAGTTCTGTGATGCATAAATAAAATAAATCTTTAAAAAAAAAACAAACTTATCTAGCAAATCATATTTTCTTTAACTCATGATTGAGCCTATGCTGTTGTAGAGCACTGAAAGTAGAAAGATGGAAAAATACAGATGGCTGTCTTTTAAAGATTGTGGTACATATCAAAATAATTTTAAGTTAATTAAGATGCAGAGTTGGACAGGTAAGTATGATTATCTCAGCTTGTATGGGGTGATACAAAAAGGTGTGGAGGGTGAGATGTGAAGCATTGTCACAGGATAGATTCTGGAGTTGGATCTTCAGTGTGTAGACATTCACTAGGCCGTCAAGTGAGGTAAGGAATATATCCCAGGAAGAGTATGTAACATAAGTGTGTGTGTGTATCTAAAGCTAACAGAGACAGGAAACAACAGGGCAAATTGGGAAACTAAATGAAACTAGGTTTTATTGTCAAGTGGGGTAATAAGAGAAGATACTGATCGGTTGCATCTCTTAAACTCCTGTGGTGAAGACAAAGTTTAAACACCTGGATATCCCACCAGTTCATTTGATAGGCTCAGAAAGTATTTTTTGTATTCTTTATTTGCTTTAGCTTTTCTTACGTGTTTTGAGGTTTGATATTACTCATCTTACTGTTCATGATCTTTCCTGTTTCTAGGCAGAACGTGTTCATGAATTAAATGAAGAAATTGGTAAATTGTTGGCCAAAGTGGAACAACTAGGAGCTGAAGGGAATGTGGAAGAATCTCAGAAAGTCATGGATGAAGTGGAGAAAGCACGGGCAAAGAAGAGAGAAGCAGAGGTAATTTTTAAAAAATATATTTATTGATGCATACAGTACTGGGCATCAGACCAGAGTGCAGGGTCAGTGAGAGGCTTCACAGAGACAGTGGGGAGCAGAACAGGCAGATGAATGAAGTACACTGCTGAGGGGAGCAGCGGGCAAGACAGGAGAGGCGGTCTTGGGGCTGGTGAAGCTACAGCTAGCAGCTGCAGCTAGCTTAGCAGTTGCTGCTCTTTAACCTGTTGCGCCACCAGGGAGGGCCCAATTAATTTTTTTTTCCAATTAATTTTTTAGTGGTAGTAAAAAGAGCCTGTTATATTTATTAAGAGTGTTTCCTTCTTTTAAAGGAGGAAAGGATCTAAATAGATGTTAAATATTTTTCCCAGAAAGGAGAGTTGAATAAAAACTTCCTTAGTGTATCCTATTCTCAGCAGTTTATATAAACTGTTTAAGGAGTAACTTTGACATTAGTTTGAATTAAAGTAATTCTAATTTCTAAAAAGAGTAGGGAAATGTTCTCTTTTTTCTTAAAGTGTGTTTTGGTAAGATTAGTATAACTCCTTCCTGTTTAATGTTTGATGGAATTCACCAGTGATGCTATCTAGTACTGAAATTTTCTTGTGGGCATATTTTTTAGTTAAAAATTTAATTTTTTTTAGTAGTTATTGGACTCTTCAGTTTAGTTTTTCTTGTTTCCTTTTTAATTACTTCTAGATTTCACAGAATTTTTTTTTTTAATTGACTTGATGTGCCTTTTAACACCTGTCAAACTTGTTTGCAGTTGGTGCTTTCCTTTATTTGCTCCATCTGGCTAAATGTTTTGCACTTTATCTTTTCAAAGAGCCATTTTTTGGTTAAAGATTTATTTATTATGCTCCCCCACCTTTTTGATCCCTCTCCTTCTACCTCCCCTGCAAAATGTATATGATTTATAGTTGCCTGTTTGTTTTTGTTTTTTATTCCCCCCCTTTATCGCGTATTTTGTTCCCCTATATTCCTACTGTAAGTGACACCAATTGATATTTTTCTTTTTCCTTCTGACTTGTTTCACTGAGCATAATTGTTCTAGCTCAATCCATGTTTCTGTGAATGGCATTAGTTTTATGTTTTGATTGCTGAATAGTGTTCCCATTGTGTATATGTATCACATGCTCTTGATCCATTCAACTGTTTTGGGGCATTTGGATTGTTTCCAAATCTTACCTCTTATACATAGTGTTGCAGTAAGCACAGGAGTGCAGGTATCCTTTGGGTGGATCCCTAGGAGTGGAATTGTTGGGTTATCTGGTAGTTCCATTTTTAGTAGTCTGAGGAACCTCCACACAGCTAGCTTTCCATAGTGCCTCAACCAGTTTGCACCCCCACCAGCAGTATAGGAAAGTTCCTTTTCACCACATTCTTGCCAATATTTGTTGCTAGTTTTTTTGATACGTGCCATTACCTCTGGTGTAAGGGTGGTATCTCACTGTGGTTTTGTTTTGCATTTCCCTGATGATGAGGGGTGTTAAACATTTTTTCCTATGCCTATTGACCATTGGCATTTCCTTTTTGGAGAAGTGTCTTAAGTTCTGCTACCCATTTTTTTGTCTGGATTGTTTACTTTAGTTTTAATCATGTGAGTTCTTTGTGATCAGTCCCATATTAGTTGTATGGAGTGCAAAAGTTTTCTCCCAGTCAGTAGGGTTGCTCTTTACTGTACAGAAGCTTTTTAGTTTGATTAATCCCAGCTGTTTATCTTTGCCTTTGCTTTTTGTGCTTTGGGAGATGAATCTAAAGATGTTACTGAGATAAATGACATGTAGTGTTTTACCTATATTTTTTCTGTATATTTTATGGTTTCAGGTCTTACGTTCAATGCTGTTTTGAGTTGATTTTTGTGCATAGTGTGAGGTAGTGGTATAGTTTCACTCTTTTGCTTACTGAACAAACTGTCCTTGTTCCGTTGCACATTGGTTGTTCCATTGTCAAAGATTAGTTGTCTGTGTGGCTTTATTTTTGGTTTGGTCCTTTGGTCCATGTGTTTGTTTTTGTTCCAGTACCATAATATTTTAATTATTATGGCTTTATAATATAGTTCAAACCTGGGAGTGTGATCCTTACATTCTCCTTTGTTTTAGTCAGGAGAACTTTGGCTAATCAAGGTTTTTTTGTGGCTCCATATGATTTCCATTGATATTCTATTTCTTTGAAGATTGTCAGAGATTTTTATTCAAATAGTGTTGAATGTATATGTATTGCTTTTGGTAGTTTGGACATTTGGATAATGCTGATTCTTCCATTCCGTGAGCAGGGAATGGTTTTCCATTTTTTGTCTCTTCTATTTCTTGTAACAGTGTTTTGTAATTTTCTTGAATAGATCCTTCACCTCTTGTTAGGTTTATTCCCAAATATTTGATAATTTTTTTGTTTCAGTTACAAAAGGGATGGTTTTCTTGATTTCTTCTTTTTCAGATTGATTGTATATTGGAAGGCTATTGATATTTTTGTGTTGATCTTGTATCCTTGCTGCTTTACTAGACTTGTTGATTATTTTTTTCTATGCTATATTTACTTATACAAGAACTGAGATACAGGCCCAGAGGTGTGGGGGGGTGAGAGGACTCATCAGTGACAAAGTGGGAAGCAGAACAGGTAGATCCACTGCTGAGGGGAGTAGTGGGTGAGACAGAGCACATGGTTTTTATTTTTCTTTCTGTTGAAGCCTTAAATGATTTTTGGATGTTGAATCATCCTGTGCTCCTAGAATAAATCCCATTGGATCATGGTGTATTATCTGTTTGGTACATGTTGGATTCATTTGGTGAGGCTTTGTTGAGAACTTTTCATCAGTGTTTTTTCTTAGGGAGATAGGCTTGTAGTTTTCTTTTGTATGTGTTGTCTTTGGTTTTGGTTATTAGTGTGATGTTGGCTTAATAGAACATATTTGATAGTCTATGCCCTTACTACTGGCAGGCATCTCTTTGGGGTGTTCTTTCTGGGAGGTTGGGAACTGATGGCCAGAACTGTTATGCCAGACTCCACAAGGGTAGTGCCACTGTAGACATGTTGATGGGCACAGTCCCTGAAGATTCCCCCCTGTATATTTACTCAGTTCCAGCAGGGAATTCTGGGGCCTCTGGCTTCCAGTATGGCCCAGGGGCCGCACTTTCATGGTACCCACAGTTCATTTTGATGGTGGAGCCCTCCCTGTCTCCACCCTGTTCCGAAGCCCACAGCAGTTTCTCAGAGCAGGCTTTCCTGGTCACCTGTGTTTGCGTAGCCCCCCTCTTCCTTCTCAGTTCCAGCAGGGGATCGATCGAACTGCACTTTCCCAGTGCCCGCAGTTTCCAAATGCTGTGAGTTTTAAAATGCAAAGTACTTCCTAACTACTTTATTTCTCCCCAAGAACTCTTGGGTAGAATGTACAAGTGTCAGTACCTCACTTACATATTTTTGCAGTAACAAATAATGGCTTTGGCAAAGTGATTTTGTTTTTTCTCATGTAGTAAATATTTGGAACACGGGGTCTAGGGCTGGTATGCAGGTTCATGATGCCATCTCAGATGCGTACTTACAGTGTTACATTTGGACATCCGTATTGAGGTGGATTCATCTTTAATAATTTGTCGTGTCCATGTAGACACCAAATCTAAAGGTTTTTCTCTGTGATTAAGTAGATGAGTAGGAAAAGCAAGGGCCAAAAAAATGTTGTTGATTTTGTTTTGTTGTTCAGTATGCTTCTTTTAAAGAATTGTTTGAAGCATTTTTCAGAAACTTTCAGAAAGTAAAAGAATAGTATAAAGAATATCCCTATATCCTTTATCCATATTCCCCAGATGTTGAGATTTTACCACATTGGCTTTAACCATTGTCTCTGTATGTGTACTGTGTGAATTTTAACTGTGACTATTACAGATAGAGTTCCTAAGTATTTTCATATGATGATTATGTGCTTTTTTATAAAAGTAACTTTTTTCTTTGCTAAAGATCTAGTCCAGAATGATGTGTTGCATTTACTTATTACATTGCTTTGGTGTCTTTTTGTCTTATCTAGCATGAAGTGTTAATTTGTAATAGATTTGTCAAAATATTTTTGTTGATAAGACAGAAGGTACATATTCTGGGTTTGTCTCTTTTCTGGTAGTGGTGGTGGTGGTATCTGTTTTTCCATTTAAATTTTTTTGGTTCACTTTTGTGGGGATTGAGACTTTGAGACTATAAACACTCTGTTTTCCATGACTTTTTAATTCTCCCTGTATATTGGTGATTTTTTTCTGAATCCGCTGTTGTCTTTCTAAGAACTTTCCTATAGGGTCTGTCCAATAATTTCCATCTCTTTAGCCAGAGCTATACGAATGTTTATAATGTGATGTTTTTAGCTGGGTTATTTATGAATTTAATATAAATAAAATTATTGAACAAAAGACACCTTTATTTCAGCAAGGCACCTTTCATTTCTTGGCTGATAGTACTTTCCCCTGTTAGTGGGAAGTCTTCTATCTGTTTGCCCTCTCCATGTTTCCAAACTGGTAATGAATGACCGGGAAAGAATAAAGCAGTGGGAGGAAGCTGTTACCCTGGGGAAGAAATGCATTCTTTGCACTCATGGGCAGCTTCTACTTTCTTGATCCTGTTCTGGTTGTTTCATCTCAGTTGTAACAAGAGTTATAGGAGAGAACATTTTAGAACATTGAGAAAACTTTTTCAGAAACTCCTGTATTCTGGGAGAATTGTTAAAATAATTCTTAGCAAAAGTTGTTTGAGGCTCAGAGCTTTCATTTCTGGTGATGAAATCCCAAGGAAGAGGATGGGGGTTAATGGAAATCTACACCTTTTATAAAATAAAATAACCATGTTTTTTGTGTATTCATTAGGATAATTTTTGTTATAAATGTGGTGTCTTTTATTTAATTGTATGGCTTTCATGTTAAATTTTAATAATTTTTAATATAGCTTTAATTATATGACTTTTAATGAAGCTTAAATAAGTCATTTTTCTCATTTTTTGTTTAGGAAGTTTATCGGAATTCGATGCCAGCTTCCAGTTTTCAACAACAGAAACTTCGAGTTTGTGAAGTCTGCTCTGCCTATTTAGGTCTTCATGATAATGACAGGCGCTTGGCCGATCATTTTGGGGGTAAACTACACCTTGGATTTATTGAAATAAGAGAGAAGCTTGAAGAATTAAAGGTACATTGGTAAACTAATGTCCTTCACTTTATTTTAGCCACTTAATCTTTTGCTTAATATTAGTTATCTTTTACACAGTATTTTTTACTGTGATTAAGAATTATTCACAAATGTATTTGACTCATTCTATTAGAGTAGAATAGGTTTAATGGATGATGTGTAAGAAACAAAATTTCATACCGTTTCCTTTATTCTGGGAGGTAACATTTTGTGTTGATTATGATTCAGAAGTAGAAATATTGAAAATTGGGTTTTTAACTAATCCTTTCATGTCCCCCAAAAGTTTGCTTTTCAGCGGCAGTAATGTGATATTGAAAGGCAAATTGCCAAAATGAGTGCATTGATTGGAAATAATTCCCAGTTCTTCTGATAGTAAGCTCATGGGACTTGGAATGACAGCCAATATTTATTTATTTATTTATTTATTTTTTAAGATTTATTTGTGCATACAGAACTGGGGTACAGGCCAGAGGTGCAGGGGCGGTGAGAGGCTTCACCACAGACAGAGTGGGGAGAGAACAGGCAAATCAACGAAGTACACTGCTGAGGGGAGCAGCGGGCGGGTCAGGAGAGGTCTGCCACGCCATGTGGTCACCTCCGGGGCAGGCGGGAATTGAACTCATGCGGAAGTGGCTTTAGCTTCTTAGTGCTGTGCTTTAACCCACTGTGCCACCAGGGAGGGCCGACAGCCATTATTTTTAAAAAGGAAAATCTTGGTCACAAATATATAGGATATTGTGAGAAAGGCAACATGATAGTAAAATAAACAGACTAGGCCTTGTTAATTTCCAAATACTCAAACATACACAGAGTCCCCAGGTATAGTCAATTTATCGTTCAAGTCCAGTGAGGCTTTTTGGTTAAAAACTGAGGTAAGTAGCATTTTGTCAAGACTCGAGAACCGGCTTAAGGAAGATAAATGCTGGACAGCGAGTTTTTAATTCATCGATTACTGTAATTAACCCAGGGTTCATATTTGGACAGTTAAAATAATGTTGAATCAGAAGCACCCAGCGTCATTTCCATTATTTGCAAAACATTTTGAAGAGAAAAGTCTTAACAGTTTAATTTTGAAATGTAGCTGCCAGTCATTTTATTCTGTGTCATAATGATGAGAGGCTGACTTTGAACAAAACAGTATTATTTGAGTATGTGGTTTCCTAAGAATATATTTTAGACAACATTAAGGTGTAATATTAAAGTGTGGAAAAACACAAATCTTTCAGATGTTCCAATTTAAGGGGGAAAGAATGTAAGCCTGTTGATTATACCTGGTTAAATTTGAAATACAATTATTATTCAACAGATTTTTTGTTAATTGCACTATACTGGAAATAAGATATGATAAACTCTAAGTTACTAATGTATTGAGAATGGACCCCGTTAATAATTCTTATTTGTTATTTTATCTATCACTGTTTTTTAAGAGAGTTGTGGCTGAAAAGCAGGAGAAAAGAAACCAGGAACGCCTGAAGCGAAGAGAAGAAAGGGAAAGAGAAGAAAGGGAGAAGCTGAGGAGGTATGCAGTAACTAATTGAAAAGTTGTAGTAGTTAATATTAATGTCCCTGGTTCTAAAAAGAGATGTGATTGATAGCATTTTAGATGTTGCTAAATCTGGACCCAGGAGATTTCAGTTTACTTAAAAATACAGTAAGTTTGAGACAGTGTTTATTACAAGTATTTTAATTTAAAGCCATTTAAGTTAAGGTGATTTCTTTATATATGGGAGAGTGAGTAGAGAGTGTATAACATCTTTGTTTATAAGATTTTTCACGAAACTCTTTCTAACACTGATTTTCACAATGGCCAAGATTTATGCCAACTTGGCATAGGGCAATTTTTGTATATTTATACTTACTGATGAAAGATCTGGGAATTTTGTTTCATTAATTTGTTTTTACATTGTATTTTTCTGTTTTCTGAATTACAAGAACTGTAACTATTCAAGGTTTTACTGACGTAATATATAATTTTATTTAGAATGTCTAAATCTTCTGATTTACTTTTACCCTTTGGCAACAAATTTTTGTTTCAATGATTTATTTATGCATACAAGAACTGGGATGTGGGCCAGAGGTGTATGGATAGATGGTAAAAGGATTCACCAGAGAAAGACTAGGGAGGAGAAAAGGCAGATCCACTGGAAAACACTGCTGAGGGAGCAGTGTGCGAGACAGGAGAGGCCTGCTATGCCATGTGGGTCACTCCTTGGCCAGCTGTGATGGAGCTTGTACTGCAGTGATTGTCAGTAGCTCAATAGTGCTGTATTTAAACCCTGGACCACTGGGAGTGCCTGGTGGCAACAAATTTTGTGGCATTTTGGAAGCAAAAAAAATTTTTTTTTAATTTTCTTGTTCATTTTTGTTCAGGTTTTAGTTCTTCTCTCAGGTGTAAGCCCCATAAAATTACCCCCACCAAGACACCCATGACTTTTCACCATAGTGTTCTGTCATTTCCCCTTACATTTTGATCCTTTGCCTCCTTCTCCCCTGCTGAGTATTTCCAATTTATAGTTCGAGTGCTAGTTTAGTCTTTTTTTTTTTTCTCCCTTATCCCTTGTTTAGTTCCCCTACATTACTCCTATGAATGAGACCATCCGATATTCTTTTTCCTGCTGACTTACGTCACTGAGCATAACCTCCTTCTATCTCCATCCATCTGGTAACAACAGTCTTTTGTAACTCATGTTCATACTTCTCTCTCTCTCTCTCAAGATTCATTTATTTTGAATACAAGATAGAGGGGGTATAGATTAGAGGTCTGGGAGGTGAGAGGATTTACCAGAGACTGAATGGGGAGCAGAACAGTCTGATTGACTGAAATACATTGCTGAGGGGAGCAGAAGGTGCGACAGGCAAGGTCTGTTGTACCATGTGGATCACCTCCCTGACTGGGATCAAACTCATGCCACAGTGGCTGGCGACAGCTTGATAATTCTGAGACTAACCTTTGCGCCACTGGAGAGGGCCCATGATTTTCTTTTGACAAGGTGCTTGCAATTACTACTTCCTTTATAGAAATGTTCTTTTTTTTACCATAAATTTACCTTGGAGCTTTATCTTTGTGCTTTTGTGTATCTAAGTTGGTATGAAAATACAGCCCTCTGAAAGTATTACCTTTAAGACAGTGTAAATGACATTAAAAGTACCATCTGTTAAAATTCAACTGAAACTGGTATCACTAGTATCAGCAGTTAAACTAAGGTGGCACTCAAATGAGAAGATTTTCAGGTCTTCTTTGTTGCCCATTAACAAACTTCTTTGATCCTGAATATATATTATGTAACACTTAAAGAAAGTGTTTTTAAAAATGCTTTTTATTTGTGAACTTGGGTAAAAATGAATATGGAAGGTAAGGAAATTATATAACTATAGAATTACATAAAATGGGATTACAAATACAATATTAAATAAAAGGATAATGATAAAAATTACTGTCAGTTACTGGGTGTTTATGTGTTAGACATTGTGGTAAGCATCCATCTTTGCTACTTTGTTTAGTACATAGAACTATCCCATCTCCCTGTGAAATTTGTATTACTATTCTGCTTTTGCAAATAACAAAGCAAACCGAGGGAAAGGATGACAAATGGCCTGTAGAAGTCCTGTTAGATGGTGGGTGGTAGAACCTCGGTTAAAACTTGTATCAGGCTAATAATACTGTACATATACAAACAATGATACCGAAGTTTAATGAAAAACTTGTATCAAGCTGAATCCAAAACAATGATTCTGTCATGCTATGTATTTTCCAGAGGAAAATCCAAGTGACTTTGAGTAACAACATTTAATTGCACGTTAATTATGTGCTAGGATATGTGAAAATTATATTGTTATATTTCTTATTTTTTAAAAAAAATAGATGTAAGATAGAGTAGGGTTTCCTAGGGATTGTCTGGTGAGGTTCTAGTTCTAGAATGTGTATCTTAGATTTCAGAAACTTTACTGTCACTAGAGGGAAAGAAGAAATGATTGATAAAAGAAAATGATAAGTAAAAGAAAAAAAAGAACTTTTTCCAGTCTGGGATGTGATTTCTGGAAAACCAGTGAGTTTGTGCATAGTTTAACTGTCTCCTGGAAGGTGGTGTTTTGGTATTTGTTTTAAAAGGGAAGCTCAAGGACTGAGGTGAGGAAGCCTGTAGAGTGGTAATGAGTCTTGAGTGTGTGCCTATTTACAAAGTTAGCATGAATGCAGAAATCAAGATCATAATTTAACAACACATTGCACCTTTTCTCACTTTTCTAAAAATACTCTTTTTTTTTTTTTTTAAAGGTCTCGATCACATAGCAAGAACCCTAAAAGGTAAGTATTACACAATAGGTATATCTTTAACGGCATTTATGGCCTTAGAAGAGAAAGGTGACTCTTTGACTTTGGCAATTAGCATCTGGGGGCTTTTTACAGCCATTAGCTACAGTTGTTGCTTAACTACTTGTATTTTTTTTTTTTCTTCTTCTTCTGAGAAAAGTAGAAAAGCATCTACTTTGTCATTCTAAATTCAGTGGCCATCCTCATTCTTACCCTCAGTCTTGTCTTTGGACTCATTTCCACCTAGAATGGCCTTCCTCACTCTTTTTCTTTTAGTTTATTTTTACCCTCACCCTTTTTCAAATCTTAGCTTTATTGTTGAGCACATCCTGCTTTGAAACCTGAGTAGTAGTTCCCAAGAACTAAGCCCTATAAACTAGAAGGAAAACCTTAAGTTTCTGTTTGCTGCTCTTACCACTTTTTATAATTTTTTCAATTGTATATTTGCTTAGACTTCTAAAAAATTAATACATTAATAGATGGCCCCAATTGTATCAGCTAATTGGTATTGTTTTAGGTTTCTCAAAAGGTGAGAAATAGAAACATTACATGGTGATACTGTTCTTGTTTATTGCTTTTGATAGTTGCAGGTATTGTTTAAAAGATAGTTAAGCTATCTGTTCACTGAATAGCTTTATATATTTGTGCTAGAAATTGAATTTCTACTCCTTCTCCAAGAGTCTAATACTTCCTTAATGTAATAGCCTTTAGGTGGTCTGACCTCCATGTTACCCATTCTCCCTCTCCACCTCAGCCCATTTTTCACACATCAACCTCCATACCTTAAAAATGATAAAAATCATGTGAGCTCTGTTTTCAAGCCCTCCAGAATTTTTTCATCTCATTCATGAGAAGTTGAAATCCTGCCATAGTTTTTGAGGAGGGCACTCAAATCTGCCCTAAGACAAGTTTATGTCCCATCTCTGCCTTTTTATTAGTAGTTCTACCTCTACCTCTGTGTAACTTACCCATGCCAGCATCTTGGTTTGGATGATAATGTACTTGATATTTTGCTTGTAAGGCTGCTATTTCTCCCCTTGCTCACTAGTGCCACCAGACGCAACGCCTGTTCCTTCAGCATGCCCAGCCGCTCCCACCTCGGCCCTTCGCAGCTGTGTCCCCTCTGCCCGCAGCACCCCGAGTGGGCTCATTCCTTCATGCTGTCCTTCCTTTAACGCTCTCCTGACAGAAAAGACTCATCTGTATTAAAGATAACTGCGTCATTTTTCTTTCCCTCTTTGCCTTGCAAATGGTATTAAACCATTTCTTTACCACCTAACACGTTCCTGTTTACTGCCTGTGTGTGTGTGTGTGTGTGCATAGACCTCTTTCTATTCTAGTGCATAAGCTCCATGAAGTTAAGGCCTTTTTTTTGCTGCTCAGTCTCCTTAGTACCTGGAATGGTGCATTAGGTACCCAGAAAGTGCTGCTGCTTTTTTTTTTTTTTTAAGATTTATTTATGCATACAGAACTGGGGTACAGGTCAGAGGTTCTGGAGTGGTGAGAGGATTCACTGGAGAGAGTGGGAAGCAGAACAGGCTTTTGAATTTATTGATCAAATTATGAGGAAAATCTCATTCTTAAAGTGACTTAAAATTGACTTTATTATGGTATAATTTGTATGCCACGTGTTTACCTGTTTTAAGTGTATAAGGTAATGATTTTTAATAAATTTGAAATTTGACTTACCCAATCCAGTTTAGAACACTTCTGTCACTCTTAAAGTGACTCAAAGTAGCGAAGCTCCACATCTTTCTTCCCCAGGATGTTTTTTGTCTTCTGCATGTACCTACTCTACTCTTACCACATACAACACTCAAGAAAAGAAGTGTTTTTTTCTTGTGGATTCTTCCGTTTTATCCCCCCTCTACTCATTGTAAATATTTTTTTGGGGGGACAATTTAAAGTACTCTAAAATAATCATGCAAGTTTTTCCTACCAAATAAGTATGTATTTCTTGATAGCAAACTGTTTTGACTAGGCCATATCGAGAGCTTTCCAACTTCTATGGTCTGCTTAGAAAGTTCCTTTTCCTAAACACTACTCTTTTCATGCCTTTCTCCCCCTTTATCCATGTCCATCAGGGACATACCTTATTTATAAAGCATGCTAAAAATCCTAGAGGACTAAATGAAATTAGGTCTGTAATGCATGTAGGTAAGTTTCTATGGCAGGTAGTAGTGGTGTAAAACAGGTGATTTCCCTCATCTTTTTTTTTTCCTTTCTCTGATGTAAGTCACACAATACTGTTTGACCTCTGAGAATTACTGCTTGATTTCTACTTTGAAATTATTGCATCTTGTATCAGTAGTTTTAGCCTGGTATATTTTATTTAATGACATAAACATTTCATTAAGAGATTTTTAGAGATAGTTCCTCTTTAAAGAAGAGGGTAGTAAATGAGAAATGTGCTTCCAAAGCTAAAAGCAGAACCAAATGTTTTCTTAGATCCAGGTCCAGAGAGCATCGCCGACATCGGTCTCGCTCCATGTCACGGGAACGTAAGAGGAGAACTCGATCCAAATCTCGGGAGAAACGCCATCGCCACAGATCCCGTTCTAGCAGCCGCAGCCGCAGCCGCAGCCACCAGAGAAGTGGGCACAGTTCTAGAGACAGGAGCAGAGAACGATCCAGGAGGAGGTACTGAGGTGTCCATAAGAGGACATGGAACTACCCTTAAGGTTTAGAATTGGAATACTATTGGTCTGAAACTTGCATCTGGTAATATGTACACATTTTTGTGTGTGGGTATATACCATTTTTCTCTGACTATGTGGGTAGTTTAGAAAGAATATACTTTGAGCCAGAGTAAGAAATTGGAACCAATATGTGTAGGGTTATTGCTCTTCTCACTTAGTGCGTCTTGGAAAAAGTATTTTATGGGCAAATAATTTTAGGTATCATTATTCAGGGTTGTGGTCCTCCCCCCACCCCCCGCCCCCCAGTGTGTATTGGCAAATTAGGGGCTCTGAGAAGTCCTCTCATTAAAAGAATTGTTTCACTTTGACTTGCTGTTTTCCAAACTTCTTTGAGCTGGCACATTTTTTTGGAGCAGACACATTCTAGTATATATATATATTTTTAATCCAAATTGAATAGGCATGTGTTGTTATATAGTTTTGCGGGACAGATTCAGAATCTGAAAGGAAATTAAGACTTCCCTGGCATGAAAACTTCAAAAGGTACAAGGAGGGTAGACTCAGAATTGGTATGTTTAAGGACTTAAATATCTGTTGAGGATAGAGAATTAGAATGTTGTGGAGCTTAGCAGTCACTATACATGTATATAGACGTATAAATATATAGGCCAACCAAGCTTCCAAAATTTCTCAGGTCACATAATAACTCTTTAGCCAGGTAATTTTTATGGACCATAAAATAATACTTAAAATTTCTTTTTTTCTGATAAATATCCTTAAGCATACAGATGATAAGCATTTTTTTGAGTGCCTGACCTACTCGTCTTAAATTTTCTATGGGCTACGTCACATAAAGCCCATGAGTCACAGAGAGCTGTTAAAAAATCTTTATATATTTTTTCTTTCATCCTTGCCTTGTTCAAAGTAGTATTTTTTTTTTAATGTCCCCCCCTACACACACACTTTATTGTGGTATAGTTGACAAAACTCTAAGCTACTTAAAGTATGAATGGTGGTGATTAGATTTATGTGTATGTTGTAAAAGGATTCCTACCATCCGGTTCATTAACATATCTATTGCCTCATTTATTTTTGATGAGAACATTTAAATTCCACTCTTAGCAAAGCAAGTAAAATTACTGATTATTGAAGTTTATACTTTCTACCAGGCTTAGTGAAAAATAACAAAATATTGAACTTTATGTGAATCAGAACACAAGACTAACGTCTTACCCATGTAATACCACATTTTATAAAGTGCAAAAGTTGTTTAGAATAAGTAATTTAGGCATTTAGATGAGGGAAATACTCAGAATAATAAAAATGGTTCCAGGTCGTAGATAAAAGACTCCAGTAGAGTCGGTATATATTTGAATAGGTAAAACCCAGTAGAACAAAGATGTTCCGGGTAGGAAAATGAAGAGAATGGAGCAGACAGTTCATAAGGGACAGAGTTCTTCACATTATGATTTGTAGGCTACTTATCTCAATACAGTCTTTACTCTCTGAGCATACAATACAGTGTCCCAAAAAATGCATTTTAGAAAATTCTCCATGAATCATCACCTGCACTCTAAACCTTGATAATCAGCCTGCTGATTGATCAAAGGTTTAGACAGTACCTTGTTGACCTGCTCGCCTGTTGTGGTTTCTGGTGTGTGTGAACGCAGATTAAGTCTTCATTGGTGGTAGGGGTTGAAGGGATGAGCATGAAGTCTCACCTGAGATTGTGTGAACCTAGTCTCTGATGAATCCTACATTTACTGAGGTATATAGGATTTTTTTTCCTGGCAAATTGCAGATGATACTCTCTTTCAAAGGAACATTCTTTGTGTTTACTAAAAATTAGACAGTTGCAATTAAAACCTACATATTATTAAACACAATATCAAGTTTAATTTTTAAGGCGAAAACCCCACTTTAAAAAGTCTCTTTTGATTTGCTAGTCTTCCGCTTCAAATGAAAGACTGGTTTCTGGTGTGAGTACGGTCTTTTTGTAATCTTTCCCCTTGGTAAACGAGGACCTTTTGCCATTTTCTGTTTACTTCCTGTTCCAAACATTTTTTCAGACTACTTGGGTTCAGTGGCCATTGCCAGGTTTTTTAGTTATCTCATCTACTTTTGCCCACCTACTAAGTAGAGATAGTGAGAACACCTATTTCTTCAGGGTTATTGATGATTTAAGTAGTAAGGGGAGCATTGTGCACGGGGCACAATGTCTCACAAAGCGTCAGTTAATACTTATCTCAGTTGTTTTTCAGTTATTATTGCTGAGCTATGGGCCTTGCCAGCAACTTGTATCTTTATTCTTTGGCATTAGTTCAATTTTCTCTCACTCCATTCTTACAAAGGACTAAGTGTAATCAGGTGTGCACTGTGTAATTTTTTTATTCTTATGCCTTTTTAAAATTAAGCTTGTTAAAACCTTTATTAAGTAGAATTTAATTTTTCAACATTTTTTGCTTAATCTTCCTTTATATTTCTAAACCTGAAAAGTTATTTCTTTCTGTTTAGAGGTTGAAAAGATTACTTATTCAGGTTCTTGGCAGTTGCCTCAGAGTCTGATTCCAAACATAGGTTGAGTTAATTATGTAAAAGTGCTGTGTTACTTGTAAAACAATCAAATAAATGTAATATGCTACTGCTTCGTTCTAGATGTTTTAAGTGCAGAAGATTCCATATTTTGATCCCATAATGTTCTTTGTTTTTTTCAGTTGAATTTCTGATTTGAGCTTATTTGTTGTTACCTTTCTTATTGGGTATGGGACTTGGGAGGTGGTATTAAGGGGCTGTTAAAGTTAATTAAGATTGATTATAATATGATCATCTGTTTCTATCTTTCATTCTGATTTTTGTTTTTGTTTAAATGAGCTCAGGATTAGAGCAGATTTCTAAAATACTTAGTTACTTAAAACCTTATCATTAGAGTAGTTCTCTTAATGCCATTAAATGTTGACAAACTATTGCCTGCAGTCCTTTTACATAGCCAGGGAGCTGTGGGTGGCTTTGATATTGTTAAAGATTGATAAGAAGGAAGAACAGACCTCAGAGATTGTATATGGACCTGCCTCACCCAAGATACTGTCTGGCTTTTGATTTCCATCCAACTTGGACATATATATATACATATATATTTTTAATTTGATAATACCTTTCATTTTTTTAAGGCATTGTATGTTATTTTTACATTAAATACATTTGTTTTGAATTGGGAAAGTTTTATGATTGCCTCTAAAATAATGACACTATCCTATAAATTATTTTAGCTCATGGGCTCTTGACCTTAGCTACCGGTTTTTACACACCTCCTTGGTTTAATTCCCTTGTCAAATATGGTCTTGCCTTTCTTTTTCTGTCAAAAAAACTGATTTCTTCGATGTACTCTATGTATCTGCAGCTATCGATAGCTTAATATTTATCCAATTCTTTCATTTGGATTTTTGGGTTTCCCAACACATTTTGCTCCTCAAATTAATATTTTTCAGATCCTCAAAAGAAAGATTCAGAGACCAAGACTTAGCATCACGTGACAGAGACAGGAGTTCAAGAGACAGATCACCTCGTGACAGAGATCGAAAAGATAAGAAGCGGTCCTATGAGAGCGCTAATGGCAGATCAGAAGACAGGAGGAGCTCTGAAGAGCGCGAAGCAGGGGAGATATGATTAGTTGTGTACATAACCTCAATCCTTAAGCTTCCTATGGAGTTACTTACTATTGTTTAGTTTGCAGCTGTTTGGGGTGACGCAGTGAGCAGTTCCCGACACCAGTCCAGCTAGGCTAGATGTACAGTATCTAACTTGATCTGAACTGAACTCTTTCCTAGATGAAGCCTAAAACTACACCCATAGTTTCTGGTGAACTTGTAATTCAACTTTGAAAGTACAGTTTTATATTAAGACACCAGTGTCTTTATTCTTTTTAGTAGGAGTGATAGTGAACAAATTGTGTTACTTGCCTCGGGATTTTTTGGAACATTTGTAAAATGCCGTCTTCCTTAGTCCAAACAGCAGCCACTTTGAGAATTTTTCTTTTTAATTCTTCTTCTTCTGACTTTTGTATCCCCTATTCCTCTAAGCTCTAACTGTAAGAGAGAGGGGTAGGGAAGCAATATAGCTTTTGTTTTAAGGTTCTATTCCCATTGTTAATCACTAGCTGATTACAGTTCAGAGCATTTATACTGGAATGTGTGCTGGAGAAATTTAAAATACTGGGAATTTTTTGTTTAACGGTGCCTGTTTAGAGTTGGAAGTTGAACAGCTGTTGCATTACATACTTTGCTTTTTTGTTGAAATTTTGAGATCAACATGTCTTGATTTTTCTGTTCTATTGAATTGCTATGTTCAGATGTTTTGAAAAGGGGGGTGGGGGAAGGGACTTTTTCATAAGCACTTGTTTTATTTTGTGTGTGTGTGGAGTATAAAGGGTACACCTTATTGTAAAAAATAAAATGAAAGAAGCAATCACCACCCCCATCATTAAGCTGTAAACTTGTCCCGTAAATTGTCACTAGAACTATTTGCTGTGGGCATTTCTTCTGTTGTATCATTAATAGTGCCTTACTGTGCAAGGCACCAAAGGAAATAAATGCAAAGAGTCAAGATGAACTGTTCAACCCGGGCCTCTTGCTGACTATATTCCAGCAGCTTTAGGGCTGCTGTAACTACGCTGGAGAGAAAGACCGACCTGCAGAAGGAAGTGCATTTTTCATTCATTGTTGGGTTTTTTTTTTTTTTGCTTGTTTTTTCTTCTCATTCAGTAAACAAATAAAAACATAGTATAACCAATATGAGACTATTTCTGCATTGAAGAGTAAGCTGTATACTTAGTAGTTATTGAAATAGTAGTTAACAGGTATCACTCGTGAGTCTAGAAAATCTGAAAACCAAATACATGAAGTAATGAAGCTGTCTGAGCATAACTAAGACCCCCTTTTAAGAACTGTGTCTTTGGTCCTTTGACATACTCGGCATGACAGGTCTCATAGGGGTCCTGCTTCATTCTAAGTGGCATCAGAACTACACCTAAAAGGGACACTCCTCAGATTACCCATCACCCAGCTGTGCCTGTCTGACCGGCTTTTTGCCATCCTTGACATCACACATTCAGGTCACACAATTGAACTTCAGAGTCAACATCAGTGGCCCATTCCCTTGTTTCTGGTTCCAGAGAAATTGTTACCCCCTTAGTCCCTGGTGGTCTGTGCTGTTCTCATATCTTGATAAGCACTTTGGATTCAGTACCTTGGCATGTGAAGTGAGACAAAACGAAACTGGCAGATGCAGGGAAGGCTGTCTGGGACCTGGTCTGTTACTGATGTATCAAGAGATACTAGATTCCAAAATGTGATTGAAAAATGTTAAGCTTTGCTTGTATGATTTAATTTGCATTCTCTGTCAAAATGTACAAATGTCTGTATCGCTGTTGCTGCAGTTACAGCTTGTGGGTATATGATCACCTGTGAAGGACATTGCCGCCGGGGTGGGCACCATGGTCAAACACTTGAACTAGATGGTCCTTTCAGTTAATTGTTTTTATTTTAAAAATACTTTTAGACAATTCTATTGCTTAGATAACTACTAGTTTTTAGACTTCGAAGTGAACAGTCTACATTTTTTTTTTTAATAGTCATCTTTGAGCCAGGATAGTTACTCTGGTGAATTAAAGTAACCCTAAAAAATCTATTTTTATAAGCTATTTAATAATAGCTTTCAGCATCAGCCCTTTGAGTCAGAATCAAGCATGCATTACAATTTAAACAAATGCTTTTGTTACTCTGTGTGGTGATTTGTTGTGCAGTGTGGTATTTCAAAATAATAGTTTTAGGGAATGGCCTGTCTTCATTATATAAGTTTTTATGAATAAATGTTGGTGACAGTTGTTACAATCAGAAATGTTTACATAAGTTTTTCATCATAAAAATCCAGTAAATGCCAGTTATAAATGTGTACATACCTTCTATGTCTTGGTGTGGTGCTCCCAGCAGTATCAGGCCGTCCAAGACCACCCTTGTCTGGCTCCTGCCCGGCACGGTGGAGCTCCGTGCACAGCCTTGGCCCACAGTATACTCTACTGACTTACCTTGGGGGACATCCTCGCTGTGTTTCCGCTATATTAGGAAACTAATCCTTGTATACGTCATTTTATTTTAACTCGATTTAATATTTAGATTTTCTCAGGGCATAAATATTGTAAGATTGCCCGTTTTCTCTTATCCTCCCCACTGCTTAGTTGTAATTTGAAAATATAACCTCTAGTTTACGGGACTTAGAGGCTGGAGAGGGCTGTGAGGAGAGGAGGTCTCAATGAAGAGGCCAACGGGGCCCCAGTCAGAGTCCAGAGCAGACTAGAGCAGAGCTAGGGGTGCGAAGGACTCTGTGGACTGCTGGGGCCAGCAACCATTCCCAGCTGGACCATGCTCTGGGTTGCAGCAGAATCTGGGATAACAGAGCTGCCGGGGCTGCATACACGCCAGGACAGAGCAAACTGCTCTCAGCGTAGTGGGTTTCAGTCAAAAACAAGTCATCCACTCACAGAACTGGGTCCTCGAGAAGAGGCCGTGCAGGAGGGGCCGAGGTTGTGCCGACAACGGTGGTCACTGGTCCTGTGTGGGAGAGTGGCTCTGACATCCCAGACACGCAAAACTCTGTCCTCTGGGCAAGCTGGTCACCTGTAACAGGAGATGTAGTACGTGGGCCCAGATCATGGGGGTGGTCTATTGGCCCAGGGGACACTGCTATCCTTGTTAGCATCTTACATCTACAGAATGAGTTAACAGGTCTCTGAAGAGCAATGCACCTTCCCCCAGAAGGCTCAGGTAGCCTTTTTCCATTTGGGCCCAACAGACATTGGTAAAGGAACGTCTCTGACTAAACAAAAGCCAGGACAGTCAACTGAGAGTTTTTTGACCTCAGACTGAGGATTTTCCTGGTGTAATACTGTGACAGGTATGTCCTGGGTTCTGAGAGGCAAAAAAGAGCAACAGAAATGTCTCCCAAGGGCACAAAATTCCCAGAGGGTTAAATGGTGGTGTGGTGGCTACAGTAAGCACCATTTCTAAAACTTGTGTAGTCTGCTGTGCACTGGCTCTCAAGCTGAGTCAGGAGACTAGCCCGTTTACCCAAATTTGCATGTCTCCTAAATTGTTTTTGAGTTTGGGATAGATACTCGACGTAAAAAAGCCTATCAGTTCAATAGAAAGTACCCAGCATCAGGAATTCCTGTTGAAAATGTACATCTTGACGGCCTAATTTACAGGAAATGGCATCCAGAGTGTAGTGAGAGCAGCCCTGAATTAAGACTCATTGGGGGAAAAGTTCTAGATCACGGGGCATTAAAAAAACAAACCCAGCGACAGTGCTTAAACTTGGATTAAAAGACTTTCGTGAAGTTGGGGAACTGGAACATGAGTTGAGTGTTAATTTTACTAACGATAACGATAGAACTGTAATGTAGAACATCCTTATTTTTAGGAATCGCATGCTGAATAGAGGCGAAGTGTTGATGTCTGTAACTTATTTTCAAATGCTTCAATTACATATACACACCAATATGTAGAAAGAAAAATGTGGAAAAGGTAACAGTTGTTAGACCTAAGTGTTCTCTGTACGGGGGTACACACATCGCAGCGTCTTGGTAGTTTCAAACGTTTTGCAAAAATTGGGGTTCACAAAGCTAGATTTTCCATTTCAGTCATCACTGGGCAGCACATGAGCCTTTCAGGCAGGGCTTCTCCACAAACACGGCCCACCCACTGCCGCACTCTGAGCATCCAGGGGCGCGTGCGCGTGGGCTGGTGAGCACTGGGAGAGAAGCGTGCACCCACTAGGACAGCTGCTTGCAGGTGGGGGCAGGCTGAGCTGCTGAGAGGCGCGTGTGGGGGTGTAGGGTGAAACCCCGAAGTGGCAAAGATGTGCCGACTGGACAGAGGGCGAGACCAAGTGCTGAAACAGATGGGAGCTGCTGGAACCCTGCCCGTGGGAAAAGTCCAGCTCTTGCAGAGAGCAGCGTGCTAGTGACGTGGGAAGGAGCATCTTACCGTGCGGCCTGCAGGTTCTCCCCTGGCACCGAAGAGAAAGGAAAACCAGTGCCCACACGGATGGTCATGGCAAGAGGTGAACAAAGATGTTCCCGGCAGTTCTCTCCATAATGGTCCCCAAGCTGGAGGCAACACATCTCGTCAACTGGAGAAAAGTGAATTGCGGTATGTTCCTCAGGAGGAACTACCAGTGGGCGCAGTGACGTGGGAAAGCCTTTAAAATGTGCCGAGATGAAAAACAAAAAGTTGAGTCCACACTGTGTGCTTCTTACTCTTTCCTGAAACATCCTAAAAAAGATGTGCTGGGGCTGGAGGTTGAGGGCGGGGTGCTGCGAAAGGACTTTCTGGGGTGTTGGAAGTCTTCCTCCCTCACCTTGACTGGCAGTTATTACATGGGTTAGCCTTTGTGGAAGGTACTCGAGGTGGACATAAACTCGGCCTCGGTAAAGTTGATTTGAACTCTTTTCTTTTCCCGGAGGGCCGTATGTACTTTTTCACCAGGTTCTCTCAAAATTTGGTTTTTGCACCATGTGCATCAGCATCACAAGGAAAGTTGGGGACCTCTTGGCGAGGGGAGGTGGGGCATGTGCCCCACACAGGGGCAGTGTCTGGAGTGCTCACGGCTCTGCAGCGTCAGGCTGCTCCGGAGCTCCAGGAGACAAGCCAGCGCCGGTGGCAACTTCAAACAGCAGCAGCTGGCAGAGCCTGGAGGAAAAGAGTAGTTGAAAAACTACTCAGAGGAATTCCATGTAGACCAGCCTGTTGTGTGACTTTCCCAGCTTCTGCTTTGTGGAGAGGGAGACATTGCTCTGGAGGTGAGGCTGAAACTTGGCGAGCATGCCTTCACCTCAGTGAAGGAAATGTTTACGGGCTGAGAGAAATGGAGCCGTTCCTGACGGTGGTTCTCTGGTCAGGCAGCTCATCAGAATCTGTGGGCCTTTCAGAAAGTATTTTTGTCAAAGGAGTACATTAATACTTTTTAAAAACAGGAATGCGGTTTTGCCTAGTAGTTTTAACTAGTTTTTTTCTTGATCTCGAGTACAGCTCAATGAATTTTTATGTATGTACCCAGCCCCACCCCAAGCAAGACTAGACCATCTCCAGCAAGCACTCTGGAATGTTCCCTCATGCCCTATTGCACTGCTGCTCCCTTACCCAAGACAACCGCCAGTCTGTCCCCGACCGGTTTTCAGCAAGTACTTGAAATTATTTTTGCTGTTTCTTGCAGTTTGTGTTTTCTGGTTTCTAAGTGAAGTCTCTGCTTTCATTCCGCTACTTCTTGGCGTGCCAGGTTTGGACAATAACAGTTGGCTTGCTAGTAAGATAGATGAGAAACTCATTCTCTTGTCCCCCACCCTTACCTTGTGAGGGTAAACTCATTACACTTACCAGGCCCCAGACACTCACCTGAGATTCTGATCCTGGGCATGTGGGCAGGTGCTGGCCACTGGTGTCTTTCAGCCTCCACAGGTGATTCTAAGTGCATCCCTGCAGGGTCATCCCCCGCCTGGGGTACTTGGCCTTGAAACTAGAAGGAACCAAATGGTTGCTGATGTTAAACTGGACAGACCACCAGACACAGGACGTTTGCAGAGAGGCACTTTGAGTGCTGGGTTCACTTGTGGGCAGGTAAGCAAGCCACGAGGAGCATCACAGTGTGTCTTAGACTTTCTGGCTTGAACATACACTCTAGGACTCGGATCTAAAAGTTTTGGGTTTGCCCTTCTCAGAGCTCAGGTGTGGCCACGGGTTGATCAGAAACAACCGGTTGTGGACGGTTGTGGCCATTTCCTCCTTCCCTCCACCAGGGACATCCAAGGTGTTCTTAGACCTTCCAGCCACCCCGTTCTGGGCTGCGAGCAGAACTGCCAGGCACCTTGCGTGGCACCTGTCTCGGCACGGAGGCCAGGACTGTGGGCTTCTCCTCCCTGCTCAGATGTTGCCATTCAAAACAAACTGACACCTGTTTTTTTAAAGTGACAAGGCCAGTTTACAGTTTACTTGCAGCTATAAATGGAAGCTGACACACTCATCCCCAAAAGAGCGCTTGGGAACACAGGGTGGGCGCCAGGGGGCGCTGGTGGGACGGCTCGCCCTGGCGCGGGGAGCTGGGGTTTGAGGGAAGGCGGCTGGTGGGTCCTGCTTGGAATCTGCCGCTTAAGTAATGTGACCTTGACCTTGAGAAGCCACAAGTGACAGTTACCAAGGGGTCTGAACAGGTGCATCATCAACCTCCACACCCAGCACCCTGAGCCAGATGCTGTCTCAGATGCGCCCAGCGCGATGGCGACCGGGGTACCCAGCACCCGCAGGCTGTGAGGACGGGACCAGGTGGCGTCCCGCGCCTGCAACTCCTTACTGAGTGTTCAGACCAGTCGCAGGGCCTGAAGTATTTGCGCGACTACTTGATCTTTTCAAAACATCGGCTTTATTGGTGTCATTGCTGTCATTGAGCAATGTTGAGTCCACGCGTTTGACAAATGCATCTGTTGTGACCACCACCATCGGGACCCAGAGCAGACCCACCTGCCGGGCGTTTCCCTCCCCGCACCCCCGGCCGCCGGCCCAGCGACAGCGGTCCCGTCTGCCCTTGTCTCCGCTTGTCTTTCCCAGACGTTGGTCCAGACGGAACTGTCAGCCCCGGGCGCCGTCCCTGGTGCGCATGTCAGAAACTTTCCTTCTGACATTTAAGCGGACTCGGGTGGGGACGGTGGCAGTACCCGTTCCAGTCGTCGTTTGGTCGTGGGCTTCTTTCCTTTCTGTGCTCAAACCTCCTTCAGGGCCTCGGCGCTTACCCACAGCTCGAGCAAACCGCTGATGTTTGAGCGTCACTTGTGAGGCCCCTGCTGAATCCCTGTGACCTGGCGGGTTTGGTGCAGGGGGTCCCCGTGTTGGTAACAGCAGGGCCCATTCCTGCCCGGTGTGGCCCAGCGCCCCACGGCGCCTCCTGAGGCCGTCGGGCCTTCCTGTGACGAGGCTTCAGCCCTGCCCACTGGCCTCTCGCGTGAGGACGTGGACCCTGGGCTGCTGGTCAGCCGCATCTGTTCCCCAGGAGGCGGCCGGAGTGAGAGAAGCTTGCCGAGATCCTTCAGGAGCCTTCTAACCAACCAGTCCCCGTTCTGCTTGGGTTATCGGGGTGTGGTGACTTGGACCCCCGAGTCCACACTACCCCACTAACTTGCTGTCCTGGGGGTGTCGAGCGCTGACTGCTGAGGCGTGGAACCGAGCACAGTGGCTGCCGAACACGGTGTCTCTGTGGGGCCCCACGGACACCTTCCTGGCTGAGACGCCCAGCAGAGGCCTTGCTGCTCCTGCTGAGGCCCCAGCTCACCTGCACTGAGCAGGAAGGGCCTGTGGGCGCCGGACTGGCCGCGCCCCCAGGGGAGGCTGTCACTGCCGGTCACAGCCTTCCCCTGGCTGTGCCGTGGGGGCCCCTTCCGGGCCCGGGATCCACTGAGCAAGGGCCCTGGAGGCCTGGGTCCAGGTGAGGCTGTCCCAGCTCTCAACCTGGCCTCCAGGGGTGGCGCTGGGGCCTGCGTACCCCTCACAGGCTCAGGGTGGGTGGAACCCAAATCACTCGGTGCCCTTGACACAGACCCAAGGCCTCGCAGAGGCACAGTCGAAAGCCACAAGTTTGCCTCCCTGCAGGCCCGCGCACTGGAGATCCGGCTGGTCCTTGTCTTCCTCTGGGAATCTGGGGAAAGGGAGATGGGACACTCAGAAGGCTGGTTCCTGCCTACCTGTGTGCTGGCTGCCTCTAGACCAGAGGCCCCCAAGTCACCTCCCTGGAGGGGGCCCCCGGGGGGGAGTCAGGAGATTGCCCCTCACTGTGCTCCAGCTGTGTGGTGCCGGGCCAACCTCCAGCCTCTGAGCTGCACGCCTTAGTCCATACAGAGGGCAGCGACCCCATTTGGGGGAGAGCGCTGGGGGACCCCATCGAGGGAGAGGGGCGGGGACTAAGCGAAAGCCAGGCCCGGGCCACCTGCGCCTTGCGGCAGGGCTCCGGGTCACAGCCGGGCGGGGGGGCAGAATCGGGACAGATGAGGCTCCAGGCTCCTGGGGAGGAGGTGGCAGCAGAGGAGGGCGAGGCTCCACCCCGCTTTGGGGTCTCGAGATGTCCCTGTGACGCAGGAGCTCGTGCCCAGGGGAACAGAAGGGGCTGCCCGCCCGGACCCAGGGCCACTCACAGCTGCGGCGGCAGGGGCGCCCCGTCGGTCCAGTGCCAGCCCTGGGAGCCTCGCCGGGCCCCTACCCAGGAGTACCGGGTGACTGGGTACCTGCTCAGGAAGGCCTGGGGGAGAGAAGGGGCACGTGTGACTCCTGTGGACACTGGGGGCTCAGGCAGGCCTCCGTCCCGGAGGCTTCTGCGGGTTCCAGGCCGCAGATGAGCCCCGCCCCGCCACTGCTCCCAAACGCCGCGGCCTGCTTGCTGGCTGCCCGGCACTCGAGTGCCCACGCCCATCCTCCCAGGGAGGTGCAGCAAGTGTGGAGGGGAGCAGCTCACACAGGAGAGGGGACAGGCAAAGCTGGAGCCGTGCAGCACACCCAGGTGGGCGGGCCGGCAGGGGGCAGCCCTGAGAGCAGGTGGCCATGGAGCTGCAACCAGACCAGACCAGCCACTCAGCGCAGCATTCTTCAGGCCATTTAACAGCTGGTGGCGCAGCAGGTTAAAGCACAGCACTGAGAAGCTACCAGCCACTGCAGCACGCGTTCGAGCCCCATCCAGGGTGGTGACCACACCGCGCAACGGACATCTCCTGACCCACCCGCTGCTCCCCTCGGCGGTATGTTTCAGTCCATCTGCCTGTTCTGCTCCCCATTCTGTTTCTGGTGAATCCTCTCACGCTGCACACCTCTGGCCTGTACCCCAGTTATTGTATGCATAAATAAATAAATAAATAAATGTCTTAAAAAAAAAACGTTGCAGGGGTTAAAGTCTCAGTGCTATGAAGCTATCAACAACCTCTGCAGCATGAGTTCGGTCCCCAGCCAGGGAGTTGACCCACAGGGCACAGCAGACCGCTCCTGTCTCTCCCCTGCTTCCTTCAGCAGTGTGTTTCAGTGGATCTGCCTGTTCTGCTCCCCACTCTGTCTCTGGTGAATCCTCTCATGCTGGATTCTCTGGCCTGTACTCCAGTTCTAATGTGCATAAATAAAAATATATCCTTGAGCTCTCCCTGGTGGCGCAGCGGGTTAAAGCACAGCACTGAGAAGCTAAAGCCACTTCAGCATGAGCTTGATCCCCGCCCCAGAGGTGACCACATGGCTGGCAGACCTCTCCTGACCCGCCCGCTGCTCCCCACTCTGGTGAATCCTCTCACCGCTCCTGCATCTCTGGCCTGCACTCCAGCTCTGTATGCATAAATAAATAAATACTTAAATATATATCTTAAAAAAAAAATACCATGGAGCAACATAGGGGAAGTTCTAGTATGTGAAGGGTTACGGTAGAGAAAGGCTGAGTAAAAGCTGGCAAGACTCTGAGTCCAGTGTATGAATACGGACACACGTAGACGCATACATCATGACAACACAGAGCAAAGCGATTATGTTGGACAGTTGTCAGGGCTGACTTTTTTCCTTTTAAGTATTTGTCCTCAACATCTAATTGTTTTCAGCAACAAATCAAACTGTAAACTCACATTCAGAAACACTGTCCACTTGGAAAAAAATGTTTCCACCTTACAAGACCCAGTGTGGGGGTGGCTGGCACATCCAGTCTTTCCAGAACATAACTTGGTGCTAGCTAGAGCAGCAACTTCATTTCTGTCACTTAAATGGGTGGCTGCACTTTGGGGAATAATTCAAGAAATAAAAAGAAAGTGAATTTACCCATAGATAACACTCTGCTATTTACAACAACGAAAAAGCCAAAAACCATCCAAGTGCTTCACGACTGGGGCGTCACTAGGCAGATTAAGGGCCATGACGCTGGAATAGTACAGGGCTGTTAAAGATGACACAGTTGGGGCCCTCCCTGGCGGCGCAGCGGGTTAAAGCACAGCACTGAGACGCTAAAGCCACTTCTGCATGAGTTCGATTCCCGCCTGCCCCGGAGGTGACCACATGGCGCAGCAGACCTCTCCTGACCCGCCCGCTGCTCCCCTCAGCAGTGTACTTCATCGATCTGCCTGTTCTGCTCCCCACTCTGTCTCTGGTGAAGCCTCTTGCCACCCCTGAGCCTCTGGCCTGTACCCCAGTTCTGTATGCACAAATAAATCTTAAAAAAAAAAAGATGACACAGTCGGAAAATGTCATAAGAAAATGTAAACACAGGCTGTGCCCAGTGACAACAGACCTTGCCAGCATGCTGTGTAGCTGCACCCCCAAGAAGCTCACATCGCATGAATGCAGACGGGATGGCGGAGTGAACCCCCTGGAATTTAACATGAGTTTAGTTTTTCCTGGACAAAGACCAAACCCCTCTGACCTTGGGAACTGGGAAGGAACTTCCTCCTCCCTCCACGCTGCCAGACAAAGCTGCTCTGAAACCACAGAGCATGAACTCAAGGAGGAAGGCACAGCAGCCCCTAAACTCTCCTGACTGTGAGCAGAACCAGCTCTTGGGAAAGATGAACCATTCTGTCCAGGACTGTGCACTCCCTGGTACCTTGGCACAGCCCTGGGGGTGGCGGGGCCTGGCTTTCATTTTACTTTATGCATACAGGATTTGGGGTACAGGCCAGAGGTGCAGGGGGTGAGAGGACTCACCAGAGACAGCGGGGAGCAGAACAGGCAGATGGACTGAAATCCACTGCTGAGGGGAGCAGCAGGGAGACTGGAGAGGTCTGCTGCACCCTCTGGGCCACCTCCCTGGCCAGGAATCGAACTCATGCTGCAGTGGCTGCGGACAGCTTCATAGCGCTGCATCTTAACCCCTTGCCTTACCAGGGAGGCCTGGAGCCTGGCTTTTGTCAGTCTGGTCTTGGCTGTCCTCCCCCGTGGCCCTGGGCGCCTCCTGCAGCTTTGGCCCTTGTCCAAAACAGCACATTCCAGGGCTCCTCAGTCATCGAATCTGGACTTTAACTGCCTGAGATTCAAATCTCAGTCATTTTTTTTTAAAGAAGTATTCACCCATGCATACAAGAACTGGGGTACAGGCCGGAGGTGGGGAGGGTGAGAGGACTCACCAGAGCCAGAGTAGGGAGAGAACAGGCAGATAGACACAGCTGAGGGGAGCCGCGGGGAGACAGGAGAGGTCTGCTGCGCCCTGTGGGTCAGCTCCCTGGCTGGAAAGCGAACTGCTGGTGCAGTGGCTGTGGACAGCTCCATAGTGCTGCATTTTAAGCCGCTGCGCCGACAAGGAGGGCCCCCCCCCTTTGGTCTTTTTACAGAGAACTTTCTGGCAACTGCTCCTTTGGAAGGAGAGTCTCCAGATTCGTATTTTCTCTGCGTGGTTTCTTAGGTTTTAGATGACTGATCCTGTATGCTTACTTTTTAAAAAGAATTCTTGGGCTCATGCTCCATTTGCTACCTGCAGAGCTCGGTCCCTCTCGCCTTGAGGACCCACCAGCTACAGGAGTCTCTGCTCAGCCCACCCGGCTCACTCTGGGCACACCGTGGCTGGCCGTGGGCACAGACACGCTCCTTCCCCCAGCGTGGAGGAGCTTGCTGCGACCAGCGGGTGTGTCTCAGGACTTGAGGATGTGTGCTGGGCTGCTCCCTGCCCGCTGGGACCCTCCTAGTTGGAGGCACAAGCTAGGGGCTACCCGTTCCCGTGGGCAAGCAGATGTCACTGGCGAAGAGCCGGGGGAGGTTTCTGCGCTCACAGTCTAACACCCAGATGGGCCAGGCCCCAGGCAGTACTGAGCTCTTGCTTTCTGGGCTAACATCCCTCCGGTATTTCCCTCCCAGGCCTAGAACATCATTACATATGGGACATTTAAACATTTAAACAGCTTTGGCAAGAGGAAAAAAGTCTCATAAACTTGGTTTTCCAGTGATAGCCACTATTAAAATATTAGTGATAATTGGGTTTTTTTGTGAAAAATAGAAAAATCAGACCGAAAATGGGGTCCTTTCTGCCAGGCCCCCATCAGTCTTAATATTTATTGCCATTTTAAACTCTCCCAAAAGAGCAATCCTGGGCCTCCCTGGGGGTACAGGAGTTAAAGTCTCAGCACTATCAAGCTATCAACCGCTACTGTGGCCTGAGCTGGATCCCGGCCAGGGAGTGACCCGCATGGAGTGGCAGACCCCTCCTGTCTCCCTGCTGCTCCCCTCAGCAGTGGATTTCAGAAGATCTGCCTGTTCTGCTCCCCCCTTGTCTGGTAAATCCTCTCACTCACCCACCCCCACCTCTGGCTTAGACCCAAGTTCTTATATACATAAATAAATTAAATAAACCTTAAAAAAAAAAAAAGGCAGTCTTAAATCAATTTGGAGTTTCCTGTCAGCACCAACGAGGCCATCTCCAAGGTAATCAATCCCCTGTCCTTCCTCTGAGGGAGAGTGATTTTACCTGAAATCCTTTGCTAGTAACCTTGCTCCACCCTCTGTCTATAAGGGGGGGGAGGGTTCCTACTTCGTGCGTGTCCTTGCATATCTGAAAGATCTGTTGCCTGATCCATGAATCACCTAATAAAGCCAATAAGAGATCTAAATTTGTGAAAAAAAATTTTAAACATATTTACCATACAGGGAGGGCAGGTTTAAGTTTTTTAAAGGTATACTGATTCTTTTCCATGTTTTTGAGAAATAAACTTTATCCCTGGCAATAATTTATATTCATTGTATAAGTCTCTCCAGCAGATGCTTAGATACATATCCATAGAACTCTCCCGGAGAAAAGAACAGAAATTGCCCCTCACATTGTGTGGGATAGAATCCCTTTGATTTCAAGACTGGACAAGAACAGTCATGCATGTGAAATCTTACGTAAAAGCTAAGTCAAATCTGGAAGTAGTTTGGAAAGAAAGAATCATGCTTAAGTAAACTTGACCAAAGGAAGCCAAGGATTAAACAACAGCAACAACAAAATCAATATAAATCACCACAAGAAGAGATTAGAGGAGGAAAAATGACATTTCATCATCATCATCATGTGCATTAAAAAAGCATTCAAAGATATAAAAAAAGTCTGGGTTCCCAGTCAGACCTATTCCAGTGATTATGAAAATCTGGAACAAACCCGGGCCCTGACATAGATTAATGTGATGTGCTTCAAAAATGGAGAAAGTCAGGCCCTGGATGAAGTAATGAAATTTGTAGGCTACTCTGAAAAAAAAAAAAAAAAAGTAAGCTGTTGCTTTGAGCCTAAATAAAAAGAATGGGAGGCGATGACAGCTGCTGAGAAATGGCAACAACCTTTGGAAGCTGGACAAGTGTCACAGAACCAGCACACCCAGGAAAGCTCAGTGGTTTTCACAGGTGGAGTAAAAAGAAGCTGAGAAATGAAACACGCCAATTTGTAGTAAGAAGTCCCTAATACTGAAAGTCTCAAACATTAGGGCAACAGGTCCCCCTGAGGACCCCAGGACAGGAACAAAGGTCTAAAGGAGGAAGACGGGTCGGGAATCTATAAACAACCCTCTCCCCAAAGTCCACCTGAGGCTCCCAAGCAGCCGGGAGACTAGCAGAAGCTAAGGAGGTAAGCCCCGGGTATTCTGGGATTCAAAACAGGCGACCAGGGGGTGACCGTACTGCAAAGGGGAGCTCTGTTCTTCAAAGTGAAAGGCGGCCTCTTTCCCCGGCTCCTGGAAAGGTGACAGCTTAGCATTTACTAAGAAGAGAGATGAGTCTTTAGCTAGTCTCCCCATGACAGAGTCTGCCTCTTTAAAAGGCCCAGTCACCGCTGACACAGAGCTTCCAACCTGCCACTTAATGTCTTCCTCTTAATTACAACAGTTAAGGATCAGCGGACACTTTCTGGGGTGGGAAGGAATGAGCCACATCTGATTAAAATCAGACTGTAGGCTTATTAGTACCGAGATTCAACCCTGGGAGACAATGGAGCAAAGTCTACAAATTCTGGTCTGGAGGGAGACTGTTTCCAACCTACAGTTCTATACCCAGCCATGCTTTCAATCAGCAAGAGGTTAGAACAACAGAGTCTTCAGCCCCAAAAGGTCTGAAACATTTTTCTCCAGGAAGTTTACAGAGGATGTTTGTGCTCCACCAAGGAAACATGGATCAAGGAAACGGGGGTCCCACGCAGGGAAGAAGCAAAGGCACACAGAGGATGGAGGTACACGGAAACCCCAAGAGGGCAGCACGCAACTTGCCTACTGAGCAACCAGGCCAGCCGGGAGCAGAGCCGGGAGCAGAGCCGGGAGCAGAGCCGGGAGGCCTCCCAGCCCTCCAGGCCCTATTTAGTTACTTTAAAGTTCACATGTGCCCTTCAGGTCACTTGCCTGTACCACATATTCTCGGGGCACACGTGCCTTTCTGCCACTGTGCCAAGAGGCTGTGCTCATCCTTGGCTCCCCAGTGCCCAAACACAGACGAGGCACTTCAGACATTTATTAATAATGCAAGGACTGAAGGAAGGCTGCTATCCCGTGCACATCAGAACAGCTGATCTCAATTCTTGGCCTCTGCCCTAAATTAGCTAAGATGAAGCCAAAGGCTGGATCCACTCCAGGGCTTTCACAGCCACTCCCAAACACTGACAGATTCCGATCCACGCTCTCCCTCTCCCCTGGGATATGCTGCCCCTCCCTTTGGCATCAGCTTCCGCTCTGCTATTTGCTTTGGCCAGTGCAGTGCTAGCAGGTGTGACATGAGCAGAGGTCTTAGATGGCGCTATGTCCTTGCCTTCTGCCATTTTCCTTATGAAGAATCTGTCCCAGGAAGAAGAAGAATCTCGCAGAGACCTGGGAGTCTCGAGCCAAGACAAGACCGATGGTCCTTCCCAACACCAACGAACAAGGAAGAATGCTTTTTGGTTTAAGTCCCTGGCTGTGGGGCGATGAGTACCCAGCGGTATTAGACCGGGACGTTTCCAGTCCCACTAGATACCCCCAGAGAGCACCCGCGTCCCCCCCCCAGACACCGACATGGCTGAATCCGCAGCTCACTAAGTGCTGGCCCCAGAGCGGGAGCATGCCTCCTGCAGCCTTGCCCAGCCCCACCCTCACGACTTAGAGTGAAGAGGAATGGAAGAGCCCAGACCCCCGACTGGCCCCCCCCAGGCCACTTCACTGACCAGGCCTCGGTGACTTTTTTGTATTGTAGGGTTGGATGAGACCTCGCCGCCTCCCTCCACCACTGCCCGCTGCAACCTGTGGTGCCCGGCCCGCCGCCCGCTCACCTGGGTGTGGCTCAGCAGGGGGAGGGTGGCTTGGTGGGCAGAGCAGAAGGCTTGGCCGGCCTCCCAGGCCTGTGCTTCAGCGGAAAGGTAGTAACAGTGCTCCTCGGACCACACCCAGCCCTTGGGGCACGGCTGGCAGCTGGCCCCTGCAAGCAGAGACCCGGTGGGCTGTCAGGAGTGCGGGCTAGGCGCTGCCCTGACCACAGGTGGCAAGCCTGGGGGACAGGGATGGTGTCAGGGCTCAAGAGGGACAGCGCATGGAGCCCGAGCGGGGGCTGGTGTCCAGCTGTGGTCGGCACGCGGGCCGTGGATGGGTGGGGAGACTTATCTTTGCTCTCGCAGCCCCAGTCTCCGGCGGCATCGACTCAAGTGGGGGTCTTTGTCTAATTCTCACAGGGTGGGGGGAGGCCATGATGATGGACTGCCTGGTGACGCGGCCGAGGGGGCCAGGGGAGCCACCATACCTGTTCTGGAGGCCAGGACCACAATGGCCACCGCGGACACGGCCAGGAGCACAGCCATGATCGCCAGGGCCCACTGCAGAGACCTCAGGTACGCGGGTAGCCCTGGCGGGGGAGCAAGCAGAGATGCGGGTGAGGAGAGCACCCGCGGGCCCGGCCCAGAGGCACCCCAACTCCACCCCCAGCATCGCTCAGCCCCTGCCCCTCAGCCAGGGCAGCATGTGAGCCGCCATGCTCAGCTTAAGCTCCTTTTGGGAGAAGAAGGGAAGCTCTAAGACAGAAGATTCTAGTCGAGGGAATAACTGGCCCCTGGGGAGCTTGGGCACTAGAGGCAAGCAAATCCCACCCAGAGCGCCTGGCTCCCCAGAGCTGGTCTGACTGGGCTCAACTCCCGGGCCTCCCCAGCGGCCTCCCATCACCGGACTCACATGGCCTCTGCCACCTCCCAGGTCCCTGGAGGCCATGGAGAGGGTGCCTGGGGGTGGGTGGGGGGCTGTGCTGTGCTTAGTCAGACACTGGCCAGCCAGAGCCTGGAGGGCTGAAATCTGAGCTCAGCTCTGGCCTTTTAGAAAACAAACCAGTAAAGAAATCCCTGGAGGTGTAAGGGGTTAAGTGTTAGCAGGACAAACCATGGGCAGCCAAGGGGCAGGAGTTTGCTCCTGGCCAGGGAGTGACCCACAAGGCACAGCAGACCTCTCCCTTCTCCTCTCCCACTGCTCCCCTCAGCAGTGGATTTCAGACAGTCTGCCTATTGTGCTCCCCACTGTCTCTGGTGAATTCTTTCACTCTCTGCACCTCTGGCCTACACCCCAGCTCTTGTATGCATAAATAAAACTTAAAAAAAACGGGGCCCTCTCTGTTGGCTCAACAGGTTAGAGTGCAGCACGGCCAGGTAGCTGCAGCCGCTTCAGTGAAAGTTTGATCCCCGCCCGGAGGTGACCACATGGCGCGGCAGACCTCTCCCGACCCGCCCGCTGCTCCCCTCAGCAGTGTACTTCGTCGGTCTGCCTGTTCTGCTCCCCACTCTGTCTCTGGTGAATCCTCTCACTCTGTGCATCTCTGGCCTGTACCCCAGTTCTGTATGCATAAATAAATAAATCTTTAAAAAAACAAACAAACAGGGAGGGTCAGAAAGCCTCTCACTGGCCCACTCAGGATGCCACCTGGCCTCTGCCAGTGGCCTCGTGGGAGCCACAAGCTCTCCCCAACGTCCAGGCAGAGGTAGTCCCGCCCATTCTCTTTCAAAAACAACCTTTAATTATACAAGTAACACGAATACATTCTCCTCGTGGTAAAAAAAAAAAATACCGCTGAAGCTATAAACTCTCCTTTACCGGTGTCTTCCCTAACCCCAGTCCTGGACCTTCTTTGGGTCTCGTTCTGGGGGCCTCAAGCCCGCCAGAGGCGGCCGCCTGGCAACTACATTCCCTCCGCTCCGTTCTCTGGCTTCCGTTCAGTTTTCTTTTCAGTCCTGTACTGGAATCTCTGGCATAACACCCTTTCGCTGCTCCTCCCATCCTAATTTCCTACAATTGCCCCACTGAACCGGCCTCCCCTTTCCCTCTACTTAAGTCCAAGGCAGGGGAGGGGCCAGGCTTGTGGGACTTGAGGGTATGCGATTGGGGCGGCCATCTTAGAAAATTAATGCGCATTTCCAAAGCAGTTTGGCCCAGAACTCCTGCCAGTGAGAGGCTGCTTTGTAGTCCGGTAAACAGCTAGTCTGCCACCCTCTGCTCCCCCTGCCCCAAGGCTGACCAGGACAGGGCGGCTTCCATTCCATTCCCACAGTCCTCCCCATCGCCCTGCGGGCTCTATCCCTGGCTGCTTTGGCTTCCTGACCTTGTCCTGTGCCAGACGGAGGGCAGCTGCAGGGCAGGCACCAGGTGACCCCTGGAAGAGGGAAAAGGCAAGGACACGGGCCCTCCCAGAAACACACGCAGCTCTGCCTACCAAGCCCTGAGAAACACACCAAGAGGCTCAGAGCACCGCAAAGAAGAAATCGGTGTGATAAACCCATAAGCTTGTGGCAACGTGTTTCTGCAGCAATAGAAACTGAACCCAGCATCACGTGGAAGATGGGCTCACGCCAAATTCCGCGAAAGTTCCTGAGAGAACGGTACCCCTGAACGCACCTGTGTCTAAGAACCCCCGGCCTGGCTGTCCCGGGGCTGGGGACTGTCTAGCTGGCCTGTCCTCCCTCTCACAGGCCTCATCGCTGGGCGTCTGGCTTCTGTTCCTGCTCCTGCCTGCTTCCCGGTTAGCAAGGGCTTCTGCCACCACTGATTCCTACTCGCCTTTCAACTTCAGGAAGCTTCCCAGAACCCCAAGTTCAGCAACCACTTCCTCCTGGTTCCTCACCCAGAACGGTTTGTAGCTTTTTCAGGTTTTATCTTCTTCCCTGCCGGATAACCTACGTCCCCCCCTCAAACAGAACAGAAAAAGGGCCCCACCCACACCCCCAAGCGGCCAGGTCTCTGGCTTCCCAGCAGCAGCTGTGGAGTGTTGGGGGTTTTGGCCCCCACCCCTCAGTATGGGATGTAGGAACAGAGCCAGGCTGCCAGAGGTGGGTGCAGGGCAGGGTGGGGGTTCAGGCCAGCCTGGAGGCAAGAGTGGGGAGACCTGTGTTCCTGCTTCCAATGCCCTCACAGACAAATGACCCAGAAAGACATCCCGGTACCTACAATTCTTCCCACCTCTAGTTATCAGAGAAGCTGAGCACGTCTATAGAGAATTTGACAAAGTTCTTGGGGAGGGGTGCGGCGGGAGAACCTCGGATCTGTTCTACCGCCAGTCTATCGCCAATTGGCAACGACTTGGACTAGAATACTGTTGATTCTAAGCCAGAGAGGCCGGCTGGGCTTAGGGACATCGGGATGGTCGCCTGGATCCTCTAGTCTCCCTGCTGCACAGAAGCCCAGGGGGAGGAGTGTGTGTGTGTGTGGGGGGGGTGGCATTCAGGAACCCCTGTCCTCCTCCCGGCGGTCCCCGCGGGTGTGCACCCACCTATGAGCTTTATCGCCCGGGGCAGTTTCGCGGCCGCGGCGTCTGCCTCCGAGCGCTGCAGCAGCGAGGAATCTTCCTTCTCCAGCCCCAGTTCTCTGCAGCGGCAGCGGCAGGTGGGGGCAGCCAGCGACGCCGCGAGCCCCTCGGTGGGGCTAATCCAGCCATCCGCGTCGCGGCCGCGCTCCGGCCGG